GGGAGAGGCATTGTTACTCTCTCATTGCTATGAAGGCTACTCTGTTGTCTTTCTTTTTCTTTTTCTTTCCTTTTTTTTTTTAAACATTTATTTATTTGACAGACAGATCACAAGTAGGCAGAGAGGGAGGGAGAGAGAGAGAGAGAGAGAGAGAGGAGGAGGCAGGCTCCCTGCTGAGCAGAGAGCCCAATGTGGGGCTCAATCCCAGGACCCTGGGATCATGACCTGAGCCGAAGGCAGAGGCTTTAACCCACTAAGCCACCCAAGTGCCCCTGGTGTCTTATTTTTCTGATGTTTGGTTATGTTGTGTCCTGGTATGGACTTCTTTGGTTTGTCTCTGTTGGGGTCTTCCCAGTTTCCCAAGTGTGGACATTTATGTCTTTGGTCAAATTTGTGGACTTTTCATCCATTATTTCTCTGAATATTTTTACAGCCATTTTCTTTCTCATCTTCGGTGATTCCGTTGACATGAATGTTGGATCTTCTCTTAGAGTCCCATGGGTCGCTGTGTTTTTGGGATTTTTTCTCCCAGGCTTTCCTCTATTCTCTGCCACCTGTCGAGCTTTTTATTTCATTATTTTTTTCGGTTCTAAAATTTCCATTTGATTCTCTTTTGTATCTTCCATCTCTTTGCTGGAGTTTCTTTTTTTCCCCCTCTTTTTCAAGTGTGTTTGTGGCTGCTCATCGAGTTACTCTTGCAATAGCCGCTTTAAAGTCTTGTTAGTGACTCTGATTATTGTGTTCGTCCCGGTGTCACTGCCTGTTGATTATCTTTATTCATTTGCTGAGACCATTCTGGTTCTGAGACGCCGAGGGGTTTTCGATAGGAACCAGGACTTTTGGGGTATAATGAGGGAGACTCTGGGTCCTGTCTGGACCTCCTGTTTTGGGCTGGTTTTCTGTGACTCCTTCACTTGGCACGGGAAGGGGGCACCACCTGCAGGTGTGGTGGAGAGTCTGGGCTCCACACCGGGCCTCTGCTGGGGCTCGTGGTGGTTCCTCCTTACTGCCACGCTGGAGGGGTCTGGCTCCTGCCTGGGAGGGAAGAGCAGGAGAGCCCTTGTTCTCCCCTGGCTGGAGCAGCCAGGCTGTGTGTGCTACTATCCAGAAAGGCCAGGCTGCTGGTGCCCTGGTGTGCGTGTTGGCTCCTCCCAGCGGAGGAGTGTGGTGGTGTGCAGGAGTGTCAGTGGCTTGTCTGGAGTGGGACATTATCTAGAGTATTCCTCTCAGGAGGCTGCCCCTCTCCTGGCCTTTCGGCCAGAGAGAGCTGGGTTTGAGGGGAGGCACCAGCTTGGTGCCTGCTGGTGTTTCTGGGTATTTCTGGGCTGCCCTGTCTCCAGCTCCCAATCTGGGGGACAAGGCAAACAGATTGCTTAGGGTCTCACCTCTGGGCTGCTCCTCCGTCCCCACGTCTGCGCCTCCTCCCCTCTGCCTTCCAGAGTCTTCTTGTGACTTTCACATGTAACACCTTGGACTTGAGTGCACATAGCGGGAGGAGGAAGGCAACGTCTCCCAGAAGCAGAGTCCTCCCAGCTATGACTCAAATATAGAATTTTTTTTAGGAATCATACATTTATTTTAAGCTCCGTTTTGATAGTCAAGTGTCGTCAGGTTCCCAGGATGCTGGGGTGCTTTGTATGATCGACGGATACTTTGTAGGTCCATCTTCATAAACCTGCCCTTTGGATTTCTGGCTTTGTGTTTTATTGTGCCGGTTAGAAGGCATCCGTGTTGTGCCCCCTGATGGTGTGCCCGCAGTGCTCATTCCTGCCTGGGGCTTTAGGGCTAGGTTCGAGATTGGGTGTGGATGGCAGGTAACGTCTTTATGATGTCAGAGAATGACTCTGCCCCAGGTTTCGCTGTTTTTCATCGAGGATGGGCGCTTGATCTTGCCAGATGGCGCTTTGCTCCCAATGGGAACGTGGCGTGCCTTTACTCCCGGTTGTGCGTGCCGGCTTTAGGCACCGTCCCTAATCTTGTGCACGGAGCTGATGCTGAGCCTCTGGCCAGAAGGACAGCCTGCCCTTAGGGGTTTCATATGACAAAGGCTTATGCAGGCAAGAGCGCTCTTTCCCCCTCATATACAGGTTCCCGGGAGTCCCTTTATGGTTGATGTGGCAGAGATGATCTGTGTGACCCCGACAGCCCAGTCTCCATCTGTGAATTGGTCTGCCGTTGTCAGCTCGCGCCCCTCATCCTCGGGAATCAAGATGGTAGGTAGAGAGCCGGACATCGTGACTGTCCCAGCAACAGAGGGAGAAAAGAAAGAACAGGCTCTCTTTAAGGAGCATTCCAGTAGCTCTCACGTGACCTTTCTCACATGGTCCATCTCATGGGCCACCTCTAGCTATGAGGGGAGCCTGGACCATGAAGTGTTTATTTTAGGTCACCAAGCCCCAGATGAGAGGAAGGGGATAGATGGTCGTGCTAGAGGTGGAGAAGGGATCTGAGGACAGTGGCCAGCTCTGCCTTCGCCTCTCTCCCAGCCCCTGATGCCACTGCCCAGCACGTTGCCCTCCCTTCTGCCCACTCTGCCTTTTCAGGCCCTCCTTCCCTCCTGGCACAGCCCTTGGTCTGTAGCTGTCTCTGTTTCCCTGTTCTAACTCCAGATCGTGCAGGACAGCTGAGGTGCTGGACAGACCAGGTCCCAGAGCTGTGTCCTCAGCCGGGATCCCCGGAGAGAGAGCGGTTCCAGAGCGTTAGGAGAATGGGGTGTGTGTGTGATAGACGCGGGGGAAGCAGCCTCCCTTGTTAGATCTGATACACCATTTTTATAGAAGCTGATGAGGGATTTCAGTGCCAAACCCTGGACAGCGGGACTCGGAGGTTTGGCAGGCACGATGGGGAGTGGGGCCCCGCAGTGCCGTGACCCCTTCTCAGACAACACCTGCCTGTCTCCCCGTCTCATGGGTTGGATTTCAGATAGCGCTGGACTGACCCAAAAAGGCAGAGCTGGGATGCGAGGCCAGGCCGCCGTCCTTTTCCCCAGGGACCCTCCATGCAGGGCACTCCCTCAGGGGTAGGTGCCACCCCCCAAGCCCCTAAACGTGGCTCGGTGGCCTAGGTTGCCCGGGGTGTGGGGCTCCAAGATACCGGTCCTTCCCAGGAAAGAGTGTGAAGCTGTGTGTTCTTTGGGCCCTTCGTGGGTGGCCTTCTGTAAGGTCCAGCTCTACCTGTGTCCCCACCTTGTGCCTCACAGCATTTCCAGAAGCTTCCAAGTGTGTGCGCATTGCTGATGCTGCTCTGGGCCTCTCCACGTGGCAGCGTGTGTGAGCCCTGCCCGAGCTCCCTCCACCTCTGGGCACGGCCAGCCACCCGCAGGCTGTCTCAGTCTCGGCCCCCAGACCCCCCGGCTAAGGAGGGGCTTGGCGTCCACCTGCCAGACCCCAGTCACCCACCAGCTCCCACACCCTCTGTAGAGGCTTTTTAGCCCCCGGGGCTGTCCTCACATGCTCAGCCTGGACACGTCCACGTCTGGAGTCTGTGTGCTCGGCCAGGACCTGAGGCCTCTCCCTACAGCTGACCTGATGTCCAGAGTGGCCATAGGCCATTGCACTATTGTGAGGTCCCTCCTCTGCATCGGAGTCTATCCCTTTGGCAGCCGTGTGGGTGGACCTCAGGGTGCAGCAAGGCCTTGCTCCGGGCACAGGCTCTGGGCCCGAGACCAGGGCCGGCCTCCCCTGACCCACGCTTGGCTCCAGCCACATCTTGCGGTGCTGGGCCCGGCCTTCCCCCTCAGCAGCTTAGGTGGAAACACGGTCCCTGCGGAAGCTTCTCAAGTGTGTGGGGTATGTTGTCGCAGGCCCATCAAGGGCTCTGTGGAATCCGGAGCCCGCACACCCCGTCCCAGGCCTCTGTGGCCATTTCCCAGAGGACTGCTGGGCTCTGGGTGACTACTGTCGCTGCCGCCACTCCCACCGTCCTCCTGAGGTCGTCGCAGGGGATTGTGGCTGTTCCGGGCTGAGACGTGGCCTCACGGAAAGGATCTGTGGTCCCGCAGGGTCACTGGCTGCGTGCTCTGGGCTGGGAGATGCCAGGTGCCTGAGGGCTCTGCTGGAGTTCCTCTGGGAACGGAACCGGCTGCCGCTGAGGGCCTGGGGCCAGAGCAGAGCTGAGCTGCAGGGATGAAGCGAGGGAAGGAGGGAGGGGCTTCTCTTGCCCTGTCTCTGCCTGTGTTTGCTGTTCTAAGCTGGCTGTCCTCCCTAATTCTACAGGGGATCGCAATGCCGATTTTTCTCCCTTTGTTTTCTGAAGCAGGGTGGGAAGGGGTGTGAGAGGGACCGAGGGAGGGGCCTTTGATGCAGGTGCGGCCGGCTGGTCAAGGGCTGGGGGGTTGAGGTCAGGCAAGGATCCCTGGGAGGAAGAGAGGCAGAGTCTGCATGAGGAAACCGGGTCCTCAGAAGAACGATGGAGTCTCCGGGGCAGCCGCGCTCCTCTGGAAAAGCCTAGATGTTTATTCCACTCTCTGCGGGGGAAGAAAATCTGACCCCCATAGAGAACGAAGAAACGAGAAGACAAGACCAGGGGGAAATGCAGTGTTGTCTGTCTGTCTCTGTGAGATCATGGGAGCCTGTCGGTCCTGGGGAATGGTTTTTTGCAGCCCATCTTGACGTCCATCTCAGCGCTGTGTTGGGCAGTGGGGTGGCGAGTGAGGCCGGGCCATCCTGTGTTTCCTGTCAGCCCTGCACAGGGCAGCTGGGGCACATGGGTCGGGGGCAATGGAGGAGGGTTGCCACAGTGGCCTGGGTGCTCCGGTGGAGATGCGGGCCCCTTCCCAGTGCTCTGGGAGCGAGTCACCTGGGTAATGACAGGCCAGACCTGGGCACAACCCGCCGGGGCTTGGGGACCAGGCAGGATCTGCAGGACCAGACTGCGCGCTGGCGCACGGGGGGAGGTGCCCGGGCCCTCATGCAGGCAGCTCCCCGGCGCCGACCTCGGGGTGATTGAGGACTGGCGGGGAGGACCCCGCTGTGTCACACGGGCCTGTCTCTCCTGTCCAGGAGCGGCTGCTTATGAGTCTTCTGCCCCGGAATGTTGCCATGGAGATGAAGGAGGACTTCCTGAAGCCCCCCGAGAGGATTTTCCACAAGATCTACATCCAGCGGCACGACAATGTGAGGTAGGGCTGACGCCGGCCACAGTGGTGGGCCTCGGGGAGCTCCAGTGAGGGCGGTGTGGGAGGAGGAGGAGGAGGAGGCGATTGCAGGGACGGGCGTTGATGGAGAGGGTGAGGGCGAGGGGATGGTGGGAAGCGAGGGAAGCGGAGGTGATGGATACGGGCTGCTGAGGGAGGTAGAGAAGGTGACGGAGACAGGAGGCGATGGTGGGGGTGGGGTGGGGGAAGGAGGTGAGGGGTAAGCGTGGGGGTGCGGGTGATGGCAGAGGTGGGAGGCCGTGGGCCGATAGGGGTGGAGGGTCCCCCGTTTGAGGGGAGGAGGGGCCGGGTGTGGGTCGGGAGGCCCAGGTGAGCACCTGCCGGCCGGGAAGCAGGTCCCACGGAGGGCCAGGAGAACACTGGCTGGCAGTCTCACAGCCGCTCTGCCCCCTACTCCTCACCTCCTGTTTCCTGCATGGGCTCGAGGGTGGAGAGGGTTGGCACTCTGGCCCTGAGCTGGTTTGGGTGGCGGAATTTGGGCTGGGACTTGGCCCACATCGGGGTGACAGCTGAGCGTTCTGCTCGGCGCCGGGGCCTGGGGTAGGCCTCCTCTTGCCCACGCTCTGCCTCTCCTGGCAGCCCCGGGAGGTAGGGATTGTTCCCATTTTACAGGTGAGGAAACGGCCTTGCCCCAGACACACTGTGGTGTTTGTGTGCTTGTCTTTAGAGACCCAACTAAAAATAACTGTGCTCCATTCCATCGTGCCTTCCCTGGAAGAGCACTTCCACTAGCTAAGTGTGGCACTTTACATAGGTGTCACTCAGGCAGGCGCTGGTGGCTGCCACGCGGCTCTGCAGACACCACAGAGTAAAACCCTCCTGGTTGTGTTGAGTGCTGTGGACTGAGTCCCCAAAGGCGCTGACATTCACCTAGACTTCCCCTTCATCCCCTTTCTCTCCATGGTGGGTAAGGACAGGGCACAGTGACCCAGCCCCCTGCTGAGACCAGACCACCAGAACAATCCAGGGAGGGCCTGAGGGAGGGGCGTAGAGCATCTGCACACAGCAGGGAAGGCATAAGACCTCAAGGACCTCCTGCGGCGGCAGGTAGGGGGGTGAGTCTGGTGCTCAGTGCCCATGTGCCTTTCTCTCCCTCTTTTCTGGCCTACGACAACAAACCCCCTTGTGCAAAGTCACCATTTCCCTCCACCCACATCCCCTGGGGGGTGCCACGTTCCCAGCAGGTGTACGTGTGTGACAGCTCTGAGATAAGAGAGGAAGCCGAGACTGGGTCCCTGTCCTTGACGGCACGAGCCCCAGCCTGGCTCCCCTGGCCACGCTCGCACAGGGTGAGAGGTGCCTTCCTCCAGCCCAGATGTGGACATCTCACTGTCCTCCTCACCATCCTTGTTAGAGTCCCTCACTGGTTCCCCACCCCATCAGGATTAAAGTCCCAAGTCAGTACTCCACTCACGACTAATAGGCTGATGCCTTCAGGAACAGTGGAGTAAGAACATCTGCAAATCCTCTCCTCCGTAGATGCCTTGACAGTACTGACAAAAACTGTCAGAGTCCACGTTGTCAGAGCACCGGACATGAGCCAAAGCCTGAGGAATCCAGGAATGGGTATTTAAGAGAAACAGCTAAATCTTGGCAAAAACAGCGAGCTTTGTAGCGTTCTCACTCACCCTGTTCACTGATTTTAGCTCTGCGATGGCTTTGAAAATCGCCCGCTGCAATCCACTGAGAACCTGCCCACTGACAGCCACCTGAGGGGACAGAATGGGGTTAGGGCTTTGACACATTCTCAGAGAACTGTCCTTATTTGACTGTCTGGGAATTCCCTGGAAAACCTTGCTCAAGGCTTGTCTTTATTTGACCTGACTCAACACTCAGTGTGAACAGCTTTTGCCCTGGGACATTTGTTAAAAACAATCAGTGACAATTGTTTTAACATCATAGCTGTCACAGGCAGTGATAGCAGCCGAGGCCAGCAGCAGGGCACTAAAATCTTAAAACTGGGGAACAAGATGTCTGTCAGGGGCTTTGAAAGGCTCTGTGAATGTTTCTGGGAATCAGAAGATCACACCCAAGGGTAGGGCCGTGTGCCTGCTTAGGAAGGACCACGAGGACTCTGGGCTGTCCTTGAGGTCTTGAGGCTGACCTTGAGGCTGTGTGCAACCAGGAAGAGCAGAGTCAGGCAGAGCTGGAATCTGCGTGGCTACGTGCCTGTCATCAAGGACTGAGAGACTTACTGGCTGCAGGCATGTGAGGAAGTTTCTGGCTAGCCATTAACGGGCCATTAGGCTAATCGACCAGAGATTTTAATGGTCTCACATGAGAATTTGTTAGAAAAGTCACTGAACAACAGCAACAAAAAGTCACTGAACAGATAACAGCATAAATAGCAACAAGAACAACCCCAATCCTGAGGGTGGGGGTGTTCTCATTTTCAGACTTGCCACATTATACTATTTAGTTTTCCATAAGAACATGTGTGATATGCAAAAACACAAACAGTGTGGCTCACACAGGGATGAAAACAGCAGTCCGTAGAAGCTGTCCTGAGGAAGCCCACACATTGGACTTCTAGACAGAACTAATCCCCCATTTTTTAAAAAGTTTTTATTTGAGAGAGAGAGCATGAGTGGGGGAGGGGCAAAAGGAGAGGGAGAAGCTGACTCCCCGCTGAGCAGGGAGCCGGACACGGGGCTCCATCCCAGGACCCTGAGACTACGACCAGAGCTGAAGGCAGATGTTTAATTGACTGAGTCACCCACGGGACCCTAAATCACCTGTTTTACATACATTCAAAGAACAAACTGTGTCCAAATAAAGGAGAACATGAGAAAGACTTCCAGAAATTCTGACTTTGAAAAATACAATACTTAGAACGAGAAGGTCACTGCGGGGTGGGGGAGGGGGTTCCACATTGAGCAGATGTGAGCAGGTTGAAGAAAGAATTGGTGAACTTGAAGACAGACAGTTGCAATTGTGGAACCTGATGAATGGAATGAACAAAGGGTGATGGAGAGAGAACAGAGGCTCAGAGACTCCGGGGACACAGTCCAGTCCAACAGCACACCCATGAGGAGTCCCAGGGGAGGGGAAAGGGGCAGAAAGAATATTTGAAAAAGAATATGGCTCAAAATATCTCAGGTTCGATGGAAGGCTCTCACCTACACATTGAAGAAGCTCGGTTAGGGCACACACAGTGAAAACACCACTAGACATGTTGTAATCGAGCCCTAAGGGCCAGACACTAGGAGCAAAGCGGGAGAGAAGGCATGTCACAGGCAGGTGACCGCCCACAAGACCAATGTGTAATTTTTCACAGGGAGGGCTGGAAGCAGGGGTTGGGGTGGCATGTTCAAGGGCGGAATTCTGTACCGGGCAGAATCACAGTGAGGGCACCGCTGTGCTGCGTGAGGCAGAGGGAGACTGTGTGGTGGGGGGTAGGGGGTGGGCCCCGTTGTTTTGACCCACCCCACTCTGTAGGAAACGGATGCCCACACACCAGGCTTCCATCCCGCAAGGTGAGGCCCTGTCCCGGTGCGCATCCCAGCCGGGGCTGCACAGTGGGGCTCAGACAATACCGGGGCTCTGTCGCCTTGTCAGCCGGCAGGAGGGAAAATGGCGAGAAGGCCCACTCGCGTCCTACAGGCACGTGCCTTGTGCTCACCGGCTGCTGGTCACTGGCCTTCTTGGGCTGGGGGCAGGTCTGGTGGCTGTGGAGTGTGCCCCGCCCGTGTCCTGGGGGGTCAGCGGGAGCCCTGTGGGGTCAGCGGGAGCCCTGTGGCCGCTCGGGCATTCCCGCTTCCCCCAGCCGTGTCTATAACGGGAGCACGGACACTTCCCTTCCAGCCTGCCCTGAGGAGTAAGCAGGTTCATGTTGGGGGCTTGTGAAGGCAGCCCTCTGCGCGGCTCTGGGCCCCCGCGTGCCTGTCGGGGAGGCAGCCTGGTGCCTTTTCCTTGCAGCATCCTCTTCGCGGACATCGTGGGCTTCACAGGCCTGGCGTCGCAGTGCACAGCCCAGGAGCTGGTGAAACTCCTGAACGAGCTCTTCGGCAAGTTTGACGAACTGGCCACGGTAAGCACCGCCCCTGTAAACGCAGCCCCCGTAAGGACCACCGTAAGCGCGGGTCCCTGGAGCGGCCGGGGGGGCCCCAGCTGGCTGTGCCTGGTGGGCTCCAGGGTACCACAGCTCCCGCCCGGCCACCCGAAATTCCTTTGCACAAAAGAAGGTGCTCGCCCTCATGTACCCCGAGTGCCTCTGTCTGGGTCCGAGCTGGAAGATGCTGGCTGGGTCGTGAGGCCCTGTGCAGGCTGCCCTGCCTTGAAGGTCACGTCTGGGGTCAGCTGGTGATGTGTGACAATGATAGACCGCCCCGCCTGTGGCAGGAGAGTGCTGGCGTGCTGAGACCTTCCTGGGACGGGTCACGTTCAGCCCCGCAGAGGTCGAGCCCAGACCTTGCTAACCAGCCCAGCCTGGGCTTTGGTGTGGAGGCAGCTGCCCGCCTGTGTTCCTTGGACCTTGACCCCTTCCCTGTCCTGTAAGGACCTGGGGGGACCCAGGGACGTAGAGCCACGCCCATCTGCCCAGCCAGCCTCCCTGGAGGTAGATGCAGAGGGTTCCTGAGCAGGTGGTTGTAGGGGAGGGGAAACTCTGCTCAGGGTCAGGACTCTTCTCAGGGAAGGTCACCGTTAAAGGGCTTGCTAGAAAGAGTGGACAACATCATCATGCTGGCCACAGTCTCGGCACTGAGCACAGGCGGGAGAATGCTCGGTGTCGGAGGCGAACGGCCGGCTGGACCTGGACGCCGGCCCTGCCTCCTCCCTGCCGTTTCCTTGAGGGGCGGCAGGAATCAGAGACGTCCAGCTGTCATGTCCAGATGGGTCACGCTAGAACCCTTCCTCCTGGGGCACGCCGGTGAGGTCCCGGGCCCGTGTCCCGTGGGACCCCGTTGGTCGGAGGCTGCTTCCTCTTTCCCGAGGATGAAGGTAGGAGGCAGCTCGGCACCGCGGGCGGGCGCTGCTTTTGGCCAAGAGGTCGTACCACGGGGCGTGGAGCTGCCTGTCCCCGGAGGCCCAGCGGCCTGTGCTCAGGGGTCGGGACGCTGGGCTCGTGCCCTGGGAGCTGCTGGGGCTCTGCCCACACGAAAGGTCACCGGCGCCTTCTCCCTACCTGACACCTGTGGTTTTGGGGAAGTACACGGAGGAGTGAGGAGTGTGAGTGTGTCCCGTGTGGCGTGGGCGGCTCAGCACCTCCTGTGTGTGGGTCGGAACATGTGTTTCGTCCAGTGCCCGGGCGCCTGGTGGCCCGGGGCTCTCTTGCTGCTGCTCTGAGCTTTCCTGGGCCGTACCTGCCTCCTGCCCTCCCGAGGAAGCTTCTGGATGAGGCTTCTGTGGCCACCGGGCTGTAGGAGCACCTGCCGCTGGTGGAAGGCTGTGCCCTACCCCCACTGTCCCCGTCCATTTTTCCAGCGACCAGAGGTCCGCATCCTGGCCGCAGTGGGGACGTGTTTGCTTGGTGACTCGGTGATGAGCAGTGCCACCCGCCCGGCTGCCCCCTCGCCCCCTGCTGTCCCCAGGGGACTGTCACCACCCCACTCTGGTCTTCACAACGGCACCTGCCCCTGCCCCCAGGACAATGGGGTCTGTAGACTCTCCCCGTGTCCTTTGGCTCGTGTTCTCACTCTGCGTCTCTACTCACGTCCCGGCTGCTCGTTTTCTCAGGTACCGAGCAAGGGCTCTGCTCTGTCTGCGTCCCCTTCCGTCCTGCCCGCTTTGCCGCCTGTGTACTCAAGCTCTGCTGTTCGATTCCTAAACATTTAGGGTTCTTAGGTCCTCTTGATGGATTAACTCTGTCTTTTTTGGGGGGGGAAGGGGCAGAGGGAGAGAGAGACAGACAGACTCCCGCTGCGCCTGGAGCTGGATGAGGGGCTGGATCCCAGGACCCTGAGATCACGGCCCGAGCTGAAAGCTAATGTTGGGCACTCAGCCGACTGTGCCACCCAGGCGCCCCTAATTAGTTCTTTTTTAAGAAATGACCGTCTAGGGGCGCCTGGGTGGCTCAGTGGGTTAAGCCGCTGCCTTCAGCTCAGGTCATGATCTCAGAGTCCTGGGATCGAGCCCCGCATCGGGCTCTCTACTCTCTAGGGGAGCCTGCTTCCTCCTCTCTCTCTCTGCCTGCCTCTCTGCCTGCTTGTGATCTCTCTGTCAAATAAAAAAATAAAATCTTTAAAAAAAAAAAAAAAAAAGAAATGACCGTCTGGGGACCCCTGGGGAGCTCAGTTGGTGAAGCGTCTGCCTTTGGCTCAGGTCACGATCTCAGGATCCTGGGATCGAGCCCCACATCGGGCTTGGGCTCAGGGAAGAGTCTGTTCTTCCTGGTGCCCCCCCCACCCCCACTTGTGCGCTCACACTCATGCTCGCTCTCAAATAAATGAGATCTTGAAAAGAAATGTTCCTCTTTACCTGGAACCTAATTTTGTCCTGTGTTAGTATGTCTGTTCCAGCTTCCCTTTGATTATTGTCAGGAAGCGTGTCTTTTTCATCTTTTTCCACATCCTCCCCCACCGCCATCGGTTTGTGTCTTTTTAAAGGGCTGGGTTTGCCTTTTCTACCTGGAATCCGACAGTCCGTGTTTGCCGGGCTGTGCAGCCCACCGTGGTTCATCTCCTGTGTTCCTTGTCGTTGTTTTACTTTTCCTGCGGGTCTGTGTGTTCTGTGATGCGGCCCTTGGGCCCGTGGCGGCCGACGCGTTGGCACTGTAACTGTGGGGACTGCCTGGGGGTCTGCGGCAGAGCCCTTGACTCCGTCTGCGAGGCTTGCGGGACACGTCCGCCTGCTTGGCCGTTGTGACGTTGTGCACGTTGTACGTTTTGTCATAAACCCCGTTCTGCGTTGTTACCATTTTTGCTTGTTCCCCTTTGATGCGAGGAGGCACAAGGGCGAGGTCGTGGGGGTTCGCTCCGCTGCTCTCAGCCGCGTGGGATCGGTGGCCGCGTCTCCACGCGGTTCCGCTGCCAAAAACAGGGCGCGCGGGCTGGCCACGAGTCCTCTGGGTGTCCGTGTTTCTGAGAAAACTCTTTGTTTTGTCCTCATGTGTGGAATTTCTTGTCACTGGTGCAGAATGTGGCTGACAGGCGTTTGCTGTGCTCCTGCCGAGGACGGCGCTCTGGTCCTCCGGACGAAACATGTGGAGGATGCCTTTTTTCTCTGACCGTTTGCAAGATTTTCCCTTCACCGGTGGCTTTAAGCGATTTGATTTGGACGTGCTTCCACGTGGTTTCCTTCCCGGTGTTTGGGGTCCCACTTTGGTCGGTTCACAGTCCCATCATCTTGGGAGGAAGCTCTTGGGTTTTCCTGATGGGCCGTGCTCTTGACTGTTGTGACCTGCGTCAGTGAGGGTGTTAGTTATCTCGGTTTCTCCGAGTGTTCCCGTGGAAACCAGTCCGAGGGTGGAGCTCGCCGGGGTGTGTGTTCACGTCCGTCCTTCCCTTGGGCTTGAGCCAGAGGCCGGGACCCGCAGGGACCCTTGCGTCTCATGCCTTGGCTTCCTGGCCCAAGAAACGTGAGAGGCCCGATGGCCCGCCGTCCCTCCCTGCCCCGCCGTCCTTGTCCTGGGAGCCGCTCTGAGCTGTCGGTGCGGTGCCGCGTGCCTGGAGTGTGCCCGCCCGCGGGCTGGGGTCACGGCTGGGTGGTGCTCTTTCCGCAGACGTGCTGTGCACGTGCCATCGGGCTTGCATGCGGCAGACCGACGAGGGAGCGAGGGGCTCTGGCTGGAATGTCCAGCGCAGGGGGGAGGCTGGCGGGGCCGAGCACGGTCAGGACTGGGACCAGCTGGGAGGAGGACGCGGTGCGCGTGTCGTCCACGCTCCGCTCGGGCTGACCCCAGGGCGGATGTGAAGTGGTCGGCGTGTGTGCAGGATGGCCCAAGGGGCGCGACCCCCGCTTCCAGAACGCGGGTGCACACATGGGTGCGTGCCGTTGGGGGAGGCTGGAGGGACGGTCCCAGAAGGACTGTGGTTCCCGCAGAGTCGTGCACCCTGAGTTTTACTTTTCAGAGCTTCCTGAATTGCTTGGGATGCGCCTTCCCTTGTTTCTTAACGAGCAGGAAATCAACATCATTTCCTGAAAAACCAGTAGGTGTCTGGATTTCCGAGGAACTTGTCGTTTCTGGGAGGCCGCCCGCAGAAACTCGCCCTCACCCTGCCTGCCGGCGGCCGCCCCAGTGTTCCTGCGAGGTCCCTGGGAGGCGGGAGCGGCAGCGGGAGTCGGGGCGTCCTGCTCCCGGTGCTGTTTCCTTGGGCAGACACTGCCTTTGCCGCTGGAGGGTGGGCTGCACGCCCATGGGCCGCGCGGGGTTGCGGTGGCCCAGGGACCACCAAGGGAGCATGTCCCTTGGGTCCCCTGAAGGTGGAGTCCCAAGCAGACAGCTCGAACCACGTTGGCATGTCCTTTCTGGGAGAAGGTTCCGTGGCCCTGGAGTATGACCGTTACTGCCTAGACCATGGGTGTTGGCAGGGGGCTTGGGGACCTTCTCTCCAGTGTCACTCACCCGGTCCTTCCTGCTCTGCCTGCTTCTGGCGGTAGAGATGTAGCCTGGGGCTGTGCCTCAGGGGTCCCTCAGGGAGGGGACCTCCACTCCGCATCCACGACGGCTCAGAGCTGTGGCATGGCTCCTCCTAGGAAGGTGTGGGGAGCCCGGCTCATGCATGGCTCCTGGGCACATGGTCAGGGAAGGTGCAGGGAGAGGCATGGTGGCCTGGGCGGGTGGCCTTGCCTGCCATGCAGGGGAGGAACGCAGTCGGTCCCCCGTGTGACACGGAGGAGGCAGGGCTCACGGCGCTGTGCCTACGGTGAACAGTCTAGCCTAGACCACGGGAGCAGCCTGCACAGGTCAGACCCGGCCCTGCCCTCAGGGGCTTCAGAACTCGTGTATGGAAATTTCTCTCCTGCGTGGAGGCAGGGGCCATGGCAGCCTCTGCCGGACACCCGTTCCCTCCTGTTGACACTGGCTGACGTTGTCCTGTCTTGCTTGCTCACGCCTATCCTCCCGGTCCTAGACGTCGCCACACCTTGTGCCCACAGCCTTGGCCCCCGCCCTTCTCTTGAGCATGAGTGGCCACAGCGATCCTGTCATCCGCCCAGTGGACTGATTCCCTCTGGGCCCTGTCACCTGCTTGTCACATCAGGTGTCCTCCCCTCAGCAACCTTGTTCCAGGCGGGGTACGTGTCTGGGTGTAATTTGTGGAGGGCACTGACCGCCAGCACAGAGCCGGTGCCATGTGTCACAGCCCTTCAGTCCCAGAGGACGGGCACGGCAGGGTGTGCGGGAGGCTGAGGGGCTGGGGGACCGTGGCCGGGCATTGCTCAGGGTTTCCATGGAGGAAGAGGTGAGGCAGATGAGGGGACGCGGACCCTGGGCTCCGGGTGTCCCCTGTCCTGGCAATCTGGCCTGGGGGACGGAGCGGGTTTGCGGCTGGGTGTGGGGGTGCAGAGAGGACGTGGGGCTGTGGGCTCCGGACCCCTGGGGTTGGTGGAGTTGGAACAAGAGGACCTAAGTCAGCAAGTTCCCCCGATGCCCGTCAGGACACAGACAGAAAACGGGAACACGCACATTGGACCCTTGGGGGTGGCCCCCCCGTCACCTCCCCTGAGCCCGCAGGCCACCAGCACTGGGGCTCAGGTCCCCGGGTTTTTCCTGTGTGTTGGGGAACCTCCCAGAAGCTCCAGCGGTCTCCCCATTCCTCCCCTGGCGTGCCCATCGCCAGCTCCCGGCCAGGTGCAGCGTGGCTCGTGGTTCCTGTGGCTCCCACGTGTGTGACCCCCCTACCACCTGCTTCCCGTCGCGTCACACCCAGGTGCTGGGGCAGGTGTCCCGAAGGCGGGCTGCTTGGTCATTCACTGGGGTGTGTGTTTCCTGTCATTTCCCCGCTCTTGTTAGCTCGTGATTCTCTAAATAGAAGAATGTCCTTACGTCTGCTGATGGGTAATCCTCCAAAACCATACATGCTTGGCCTGTGGCATGGGTCCGTTTTCCAGATGAGGAATCTGTGCCCTAGAACCCGCCAGGGGCGAGCGGGGAGGTTCTTCCTCCTGGTCCTCCGTTCCGGGTGTTACTGGGGTCTGTGGACTGGCTGTGCGTGGACACCTTCCGTCCGTTCCCGCTGCTCACGCTCACGCCTCCCACCCGTGGGCGCCCGTCCTGGCGCCTCCGGTCACCCTTGGACAGGACTGTTCCCCCCCCCCCCATGTGCAGGGACAGTGCCACACAGACACGCCTTCTCCGGGAGCCCGGCTTCCTCCCAGTGTGGGTAGGTGGCCCGCTGGTCCTCGGCATCTCAGGGCACGGGCATGGGCATATTTTTTTTGAAAAATAACACCAAATTCTGAGTTTGTGTGGGTGTTTCCAACTCACCAAATAACTTCACTCCTTCGATTTTGATCCCATGTCTCCGCTCCCTCGAGGCTGGAAGCCTGCAATGGTGAGGTCGTCGGCGTGTTTCGTGGGTTTGTATACCATCAGGTCAGAAGAAGGTCGTCAGTGCCAACCCCACAACAGGGCCGCCACGTGCGGTTTCGGCCTCCGCCGGCTGTTTCTTTGTTTTGTCCTTGGCCGGCATCGCACTGGACACGCTGTCGCGTCCCCTGGAATAATGACCCGCGCGGCCGCATTCGGACGCGGTCCCCTTAGGCTTGTTTCATTTTGGTTTCTGGGCGTCGCCGTTTGCAACTCAATTTTTTTTACAAGGAGATTTATTTAGGTATTTGAGAGAGATGCAGAGGGAGAGAGAGCTCCCAGCAGACCCCCCAGGAAGCACAGAGCCCAGTGTGGGGCTTGAACTCACGGCCCTGAGACCGCGACCAGAGCTGAAATCGGGAGTCAGACGCTCAAGCGATTGAGCCCCCCAGGTGCTCCTCAATGTCATTTTTAAAAGTGTGTAAACTATTTGCATGGCTCGGTTCCTCAGTGCAGACCAGAGACCAGGGGTGTGAGGGAGGACCGCCCTGCCCGCGTGGTCAGACATCGTGCTGTACGCGGGGCTGTCCTTCGGGCGCTCTCTCCGCCTCAGGCACCCGGAGCAGGTGCGCATGAGTGACCGTCTGCTGTAGGGAGGTGCCCGTGATGGGCCCATCTGAGGCTATGAGACGGCCGCACAGCAGGACAGACATCTGCTCCTGGACGGTCCCTCCTGGCGGGTGGAGGATCTGGGACAGCAGGCCCCCAATTCACCCAGGGTCCCGCGCAGACGAACAGAGCAGATGCCGTAAGTGGAACGGAAGTGGAAGTAAATGGTGACGTGTGCCCCTCCCAGCGATTGCCACTGCTTACGTCACAGGGACCCTGCCCTCCGAGGCCCCCCAGCTGCCTGCGTGGCAAGGCCGACCTGTCAGAGCTCGTCTGTGAGCCTGCAGTCCCCACCCGGCGGGCTCAGCGTGAGGCCTTCCCACCTGGATCCCCCTAGAGCCACCTGGGTTCCGTTGGCCACTCCGTCCCCCAGCCTGGGGGGAGGGACAGTCTGGATGCAGAGGACAGGGGTCTCGGGAACAGCTGTGCTGTCGTCGTAAAGGTCTGGGCTCAGCTCCAGAAACCATGGGGAAGATTTTAAATCAAAACACACCAAGGTCAATGAAAACACCTCTTTGGTCTCTCAAGCTGGCCAGCGACAGCCAGGACATCGGACAAGAGAAGGACAAGACGAAATGTTAGCCACTTACTGCCCCCGTCTGCTGGGGGCTGCATCCTGCCCCGGCCCTGCAGTGGCCGGCGAGGAGGAGCCGAGGCTTTGTGCTGGGGGACGGTCACCAAGGTCACGTCTGCAGCTGACAGGCTGCAATGAAGAGGCCGCGGCCCCTGGACGCTCCCTGCTAAGTGGCTTTGCCCCGGCCCTCACGTGGGGATCGGCTGCGCAGAGCAGTAACAGTCACATTCGGGGCTCCCTGCGGGCACCTCCCCACCTTCACGCAGCTCACACGCACCTGCCCGTCCAGACACAGGACACAAAGAGAAAGGCAGGAGGCCGCGGGGGCACAGGGACGCCCCATGCAGGGGCTGATGGCCACATGTCACTCTTGAGGTACCAGCTCTGGCGACAGGTGCTCCTCCCGAAATCGTCAGCAAGAATAGTGCCGTCCCCTCCGTGGGCTCTTCGGTGGGGGGGCGCCTGGAACCCCAGACTGATCACTAGGAGGACGTCCCGACAGCCAGGAACCGGCTGAGGCCCTGCAGCGGTTCATGGTGTCATGCCTGGGCCCTGGGCTGGGGGCCAGGGAGGATGGGAGAGGAGCTCCCTGTCGCTGCCTGCTTTGACGGTTGGGGACAGGGATGATGGGGACAGTGGGTTCCAGTGTCCAGTTCCAGTGTTGCCCGCTGGCCTGGAGGCTTGGGGAGCGTGGCCAGAGAAGCCTGGGGGTCTGACTCCCAGGGCCCAGGCCTCGGCTGTGCAGTGGGGATATCTGCCGCCGGCCATCTGCCTCTGGGCTCCCTGACATCGTCAATGGGACAGGTCGCCCTCAGCTTTGCCTTCCTGTGGGACGCCGGGACGTGCTCTCAGAGCAGGAGCTGTGGGGCTCTGGGCGTGCAGGACATCTCGGGACCTGTGAGGTTCTCCTCACCCGGGACGTGCTGGAGAGACCAGCCCCTTGCAGACGCCCACGGGCCCAGGGCCCATGGGACCCCTGCAACGTGGAGAGAAGCCATGCTTCTCAATGCCTGTTTGTTCTGGGAAACGTCCTGTGTTTTCATGAAATTTGATGTGTGGACGGCAGCGGATTTGCTGTCACTTTTCCACGCGTTAGTGCGTTTCGTAGAGCATCTCTGCTGTATGTCGTGGTGGACATCCACGGACAGGACCCGCTCATGGGAAGGAGTTTTGTGAGGCCGTCCGTTATTTTAGGGATGTGAGTACGAGCTTTCCGGGGGCGTCCGAGATGTGACACGGCTGAGACCGATGGGCTGGCTCACGGCAGGTGCCAGAAAGCCCCTCCCCAGCAGGACCAAGGTGGGCGCGACGCTCTTAGTGTTGGATAAATGCTGTGGGGGACGTTCTGGGTGTCCCTGTGGGTGGCGAGGTCAGGGTGCAGACCCTGGTGGTCCCCTTGGGGCTCGGGGCCCTGGCAGGTGATTCTTTGGTGACAGCTGCCCACATACCCCTTGGACCTGCATCTCAGGGACACTCGGGGGCGTGCACCTGCCGGACGGCGGCTGGTGTGTGTGTGTGTGAGGGGTCTGATGTGACTCACAGGGTCCATCACGAGGCCGTCGGAGCTGGAGGCCAGGAGGGTCACTGTGCTGGGCACCCGGGGCAGAGAACGTCCCCGGGAAAGCCGCTGGCTCTGACTTGGGGCAGCTTCTGACCTTGAACGGGGCACGGGTTTGGCCAGGTGGGTGAGGGACGGGCAGGGGGGTCCCCCGTGTGGGAACAGGCCTGTGTGCCGTCATGCCCAGGCCCCAGGCGCGTCACTAACGTGCGCTCTGTCCTCTCGACCCCAGGAGAACCACTGCCGCCGCATCAAGATCCTCGGGGACTGCTACTACTGTGTGTCGGGCCTCACCCAGCCCAAGACCGACCACGCCCACTGCTGCGTGGAGATGGGGCTGGACATGATCGACACCATCACGTGAGTACGAGCGGGGACCCGTCCCCCTTGCACCCCCATGGGCCCCGCGGGCCTGCGCTGTGCCGGCCGGTCTGTCCCAAGGGGCCGGCGGTCCCCCGGCCGCAGAGAGCCAGGCTACACGGTGAGGTGGGGTGGGGGAGCTCCCGCCCGAGCGGGGTGCCCCGAGACCTCCCGTCTGCAGTTTGCTGGGATGTGTCCTCGTCCGTGGCCATCCAGGGCGTGGTCCGGGATGCATCAGGGGTGCAGGAAGGTACCAGCTTCACCACTTAGCCGGACAGGGAGTCAGCGGGGAGGTCTGGTTCCAGTCCAGCCATGTCCCAGTGAATGGGGCTGCACGTGCTCGTCTTCACGCTCAGGGCCGTGCGGGGGCTCTCTGCCAAGGGGGCTCTGAAGGAGCAGGGGCGCCTCCTGGGAGCACTGTGGGCCGGCCGGACCTTTCAAGCCAGCCCCGTCCTGTCGGAGCGGGATGAAGAATGAGGGACCCTCTATCGTCCAGGGAAGGCATGGGGCTGGGGGGCTGAGCTGGCGGACGGGCACCCATCTGAGCAGCGTGGAGCAGTGGGTGCGGTCCGGGGGGGGATGAGGTTAATGGGGACCAGTGTAAGCGTCCACACTCGGAGCCAGAAAGTGCTGGCCGCACGGTTGTACAGGAAACAGGGAAGAACAGAGAGAGAAACGCAAAACAGGAGGCTTGGCGGGGCTGACCTTGCAGACGGGCCCTGCAGGGCAGGTGTGGGGGCATCCACGAGCGTCCAGGAGGGGGTCCCCGTGCCAGTGGCGGCAGATCTGTGGTGGAGAGACAGACGCCTAGTGCTGGGGTCGGGGGTGGAAGATGGCCCGGGGACGCCAGTGGTCTGCTGCAGCTGAGGGGTCCTCTGGGTGGACGGGGGCTCTAGAGCAGGGGGATGGTTGGGGCCAGTTCATGCAGACCTCCTGTGCAGTTCCGGGGAGCTCAGGATCAGGGACGCTGCTTGTTCCGGCCTGGGGTGACGCTCACCAGCCGCACATCCAGTAGGGTTGCTCACTGTACAAACGTGACAGTCCTCCCGCATGTGCGCTCAGGACGGGCTTGCGAGGGGCGGGCGTCTCCTGCCGCTGGACGGGGCAGTGCCGAGGATGGTAACAGGGAGGGGAGGGATCTCCTGGAGGGCAGGTGCGTTCAGGCCCCGCCCCCTGACTGGGTGCTGGGCGCTCCAGAGGCTGGAGAGGGGTCGAGCCCGTGTTCCCGGTCCCGCGGGTATTGGGAAGGTTTCAGTTTCTGAGTTGAGGACCAGGCTCTGGTGCGCAAGTGAAGGCCCAGGGCTCCCAGCCAGGTGGCGGGGGCAGCTTGCAGGGCCGGGGCTCTCCCAGCGGGCGCCCAGCCTCCGGCGCGCCGATGCCCGCACTCCCTGGAAGAGCGTGGCAGCTCCTCTGCATGGACCCTCCTGCTACAAAGTGTCAGACCTGCGCATCGGGCCACGTGCAGGGCGAGGCCGGGTGTCTTGGTTTGCGGCGCTGGATCAGGGGCGTCGGCTCTGCCCTCCAGGACCCACCTTGAGCTGGCGCGGCCGCCATGGCCGCTGGCAGACCCCGGCGCGGCCGACCGGAGCAGGGGTGGCCCAGGGTGGGAGGCGCCTCTGTGGCTCTGGAGGCCCCTCTCCTGTCTCCTGTGTTCGCGGCACACGTGTCTCGATGAGACCGTCCCCGACGCACGGTTTACTGCGACGTGAGCGTCTGGGTAACTGTGTCTTCTGGCACAGGATCCAGACGTGAGGCAGAACCTTCTGGAAGAGGTGAGGGTGTGCAGGCGGCAGGATTGGGTTACCGTGCCCTTCGCCCCTTCCTGGCTGCCGTGGCGGAAATGCTGTGAAACGAGCGGAAACACCATTTCCTGGTTTCTTGCTCACATTTCTCTGTGGTCCTTTCCTTCGCAAATTTCAAAAAAAAAAAAAAAAATTCCAAGACTTTAACCCCGTTGTGTTTGTTTCCGCACCTCTCACTAGAGGTTGACCGATGACTGAGAAAAGTTAAAATTGAGAGAAAATGCATTTCATATGCACGAAGTTCAGTAGGCGTCAAGGACACGTCCACCGTCAGACCCCCGAGTAAACGTTGCTGTAAACCCCCGCTCGTGGACTTCCGGATGACACACACCGGGGACCCTGGACCCGACGGGAAGTGCTCGGTCGCTGCTCCTCGCGGACCGACTCCCAGTGTTTCTGACCTGGGTCTGCCGGAGCGGGTTAGCGGCTTGTGGGCTGTGGCCTTGGTCCTGGAGGCGCCAGGGTAGCTGGGCGGCTGTCGGAGCCCATCAGTGCTCTTTTCCCACCTTGGATCACACACAGGGGAACAGAGACCGGGAGAGGGCAGGGGTTGGCTGGGCCGATGGGATGTCCCTAGAAATCAGGGGCCACCCTGCTCACGTGTGCTCCCCGCGTGGAGCGGCCACCTTTGCCCATTTGAGGTTCTGAGAGCCAAAGCCTCTGGATGGCCTCCTCGCCAGGCATTGTGTCTATGTCCTGTCTGTGTGTTCCAGACAGAAGACCCCATGGTCTTTATTTCACCATTGAAGCCCCTTGTCTTCTTGTAGTGTTTCTAATTAAGATGTTTTAAGGGACCCGGGCACCCCTGAGTCTCTGGTCATTTGGGCCGCCAGCCTGCCTGGTGGCGAGGGTGTGGCCAGGAGCAGTCTCTGATGGACCCTGTTGAACCCTCACCAGTGATGGGGCCTCAGGGATGGGGGTGAGGATCTGGGAGGGCTTCCTGGAGGCCGCATCTTGGCTGGGCCACATCGTATTAGGAACAAGGCAGGTGAACGCACATCAGTGCCAGGTCTTGGAATAGGAGGGAGATTGGTCATTGAGCTCCTGGGCTTCCTGCTCTCCTGGGTGGGGTGGGGTTGGGCTCCTGCACGTGGCGGGGCCGCAGGGCATCTTATGCTGGGAGGGGCCAGAGGGCAGGCTGTCCGGTGGGCCATCCCTGTGTGTCTGATGTTTCCTGGTCTCTCTTCTCCCTCATGACAAGCCTCCTCACCGTGGGGCCCCCATGTCCCAGGTCACGGCTTGGCCTCCTGGCCCTTTCTGGTTGGGCTTTGCCATGGACGGGGGAGGCCCGTTGGACAGACCTGCCATGGGGCCCCCTGTGGACAGGCCACCGTCCCATGGCTCAGCGCTCCCTCCCACGAGGCCTCGTTGCACTCCTGTCCCTTGGAGCCCACCGAGAGCCCGCTGCTTCCTCAACGGCATGCTTTAGTGTCTTCTGTAGTAATGTAACTTCTGCCCGCTGGGGGAGAGTGGAAAGCACAGCTGCCGCATGTCCCCTTTGTTCAGACTTGTGCATTGTGTGCCTCTGACCGTGGCAGCGAGTCCTAGAGCTGGGGAAGGTGTGCCTGGTACCCCTCGGACACCCCACATGACCGCTCGCACAGAGCTGCCCGCAGCAGGCAGTGTCCCCGGAGGCTGCAAGGACTCACGCTGTCCCGTGTTCCCCAGCTGGGGGGTGAGCTCCCCGCCTGGGCCTGCCGCCTGATTTCGACATCCACACACTTCTAATCCCATAAAGTCTACTCAAGGGTCAGGTCTGGAGCTTGGGGTCAGACTCTGGCCATTCCCAGGATGCTGCTGGCGGTCGTCACAGTGGCCTCTGGCCAGGGAGCAGGCACGAGCTCCTGACCGGGTCAGGGGGATACAGAGCAGATTGGAGGTCCCAGTTCATGTCCCATGGGGGCTGCTCTGGGTGGGGAGGGACAAGGGTTGGCATGGACACACCGTGAGATGCCCGGGGGCCGGGGAGCTGGGGGTCCTGGCCTGGAGCAGCCCTGCCCAGCTGGGGCCATGCTCGGGAATTGTGGTCCCGTGCTCCCGCCTCTCCAGGCTCCCCTGCATGGGCGAGCTCATGGGTGTGGACGAGGGCCCAGCCCCACACCCACAACGTGTTTGTTGCAGGTCGGTGGCCGAGGCCACGGAGGTGGATCTGAACATGCGTGTGGGGCTGCACACTGGCCGGGTCCTCTGCGGGGTCCTCGGCCTGCGCAAGTGGCAGTATGACGTGTGGTCCAATGACGTGACACTGGCCAATGTCATGGAGGCCGCCGGCCTACCCGGGTGAGTCGGGGCGAGGTCGTGCACTCTGGGCTGGAGGGGCCTGTACGGGGCCCCTGGGATCCCTGGGCTCCACGGGAAGCCGGCGGCGGACGGAGAGGAGGCCCGGTGGTCGGACCACCCTGTGCTGTCGCTCCTCTCTGCCTTGTGCTCCCCCGGGGAAGGCTGGGTGCATTTCCACACGGTCCGTGCCATGCTCCTCTGTCCTCGTCCTCCTTCAGACAGTCCCCAGAGCCAAGGCCAGGTGCTCCCAGGTGGCCGGGAGTGGAATGGGGCCGCAGGAGGGCTCCAGATGCTCAGCACCGAGCGTCAGCGGCACTCGCCCCCATGGCGACCTGCGTGGTGCGTCTCTTATGTGTGCGCCTGCGGGGACGCCCCTGGCTCTGCCCCTTCCGCCCCCCCACTGCCTGCCCCAGAGGCCGGGTGTCCCTGGGATGCTTCCTTCCCCTTCCCTCCTGGATGGCCCGTGGGGACGCGGCTGAAACAGGCACCATGTGTCCTGACACTGACGCCTTTCAAGGTGGGCTCAGAGGTAGTGCCCCTGTCCTCTGTGGGCCGGCCGTCTCTGGGCACTGACCCCTGGACACTTACAGCCACCCACAGACCTGTCCCTCCCACATGCCGTCTATTATTCTCCACCCGTCCGTTCTGCAAACACGCACCGTCTGCCACTGGGCATCCAGAGAACGTGGCCAGATGGGTGGATGGACGGATGGACAGATGGAAGGACGGAATTCACCGTGTGACTCCCCAATCCCAGTTTCATGTTGGGACCCCTGCAGCTAGGTTTCTGGGCTCCTCCTCGAGGCTCTAGTCCTGAGCAGTCTGCCTGGAGGGACCAAGGCCAGGCTGGGGCACAATGGAAGGTCTCACACACCCCGCCATGTGGCCTCGTACTGCCACGACTTCCCCAAGCTCGTGTGCTGGTGTGCTGGGCGCACGGGCCAGGCTGCCACAAAGCAGAGGACCTGGGTCCTAAGCAAACACTGCCTGCTCCAGGGGTCCCGGGGGAGCCACGGCGGGTGTCACCTCCAGCCCCACCACCCCAGCTCCAGACTTGCGTCCCCTTCCCCTGCCAGCTGGGACTGTCACACGCATAACTGGGCCTCCAGTCCCACAGGACTGACAGGCAGTGGACGCCGGGCCTCTCCTCCCCATCTGTGTCCAGGGAAGGTGCTCCCGGGGCTGACTGTCCGGGCTGGCCAGGCTGTGCCTCGGCTGGAACCCCCAGTGGCGTCCGCTCCCACCGTGTGCTTACACCCGAGACCCCTGCTCCGTCCCCGAGCCACAGTTCTGCGACTCTGCGGCTGGGCGTGCCTCCCGTGCCCGTTGCGGGTGGAGGACGCTGAACGCAGGAGCAGACGCCCGTGCACCTCCTTGCAGACAGCCTCGGTGCTGGGTGTCCCTTTGCGGTTCAGGGCCAGGCTGGCGGTGACCGTGCCCCAGAGCCCGGAGGCTGGTGGCAGGGGCTCTTGTGCTCCAGTGCCCGGTTTTCCTGCAGGAAATGGAGGGGCACAGTGGGGTGGGGACTCTGGGCTCACAGGTGCTTTGCTCACTGTGGGCGGTGGCTTTGGGTCCCGAGGCCCCGTGCTCAGGTGTCTGGGAGGAGCCAGAGCTGCGGGGTCCCAGGGGCCACTGTGGCTCCCGGGCTTGTGGCTGTGCTCAGGAGATGCGGGCTGAGGGTTTCTCCTTCCGTCACCCGGAAACACACTGGGGTGAGCATGAGGGCCGTCCCACCTCTTGCGGGGGAGGAGCAGCATGGTGTTCTTTCCCCTCCCCCCACTGCCTCCCTTCTGCCTCCTGCTCCTGCTGATGCTACGCCCCGCCCCCGTACAGGCTCCGAGCCCCCCCCACCCCCACAACCCCCCTTGCTGGGCTCCCTCCCCCTCTTCTTCCCAGGTGACCTATGCTGCCCGGCGACCTGGGGAGTGCCCCTCCCGATCCTTGTGTTCGTCGCCGCCGCAGGCCCCGGGCACGGCTGTGCTGCTGTTTTGCAGGAAGGTCCACATCACCAAGACGACCCTGGCTTGCTTGAATGGGGACTACGAGGTGGAGCCGGGGCATGGGCACGAGAGGAACAGTTTCCTGAAGGCTCACAACATTGAGACCTTCTTCATCGTGCCGTCACACCGGCGGAAGGTGGGCTCCGGGACCCGCTCGCCTGGGCCTGGGCCAGGCCTTTGGGTGGGCGAGCTCCTGGACCCCCAGTCGGGGCCCGGGGTCTGCTCAGGCACTCAACCATCCTGCATCCCCCCCCCATCTCCCCGGGCCTTTACCCTGCTCTTGCAAAACAGGTCGGGGATGGGGGTGCACTGAGCAGAGGGGTGCTGGGCACACAGGGGGCCTGTGACCGTCGTGTGGGGCACTCGAGGTCACTGTGTGTGAGGAAACTGACCTGGACGTGCTCGGGAGGGCTAGTCCCTCCAGAGTTCAGGGTAGTGATGGAGGGCACAGGGGAGGGGCTCAGAGATCAACTGGGGGGTACAGGGTATAGGTGAGGGTCTCAGGGCACAGATGGCCCCACTACTCCTTCAGGACATAAGCAGGTGGGATAGGAGGGAGATCTTCAAGCTTTGCTGTCCTGTGTCCATGGATCAGGGCTGTGCTATCCCTTGTGCCCTGGGGGCCATGCCTGTGGGGGGCTCCGGGCCAGGACAGGCTGGGCTCCGTAGCTCACTCCGGAAGAAGGGGAAGGAGGCTATGGCAGGTGTTGGTGGTGTGGAGGAGGGCCAGGTGAGGCATTGGTGCTGGACTCCAGGATAGCAGGAGTCACCCATGTGGGTGTGGAGGGTGGGTCTGAGGGGCAGGGAACCCGGAGGTAAGTGGGTAGTGGTCCACAGCCAGCTGCTGGCCCAGCCCCTGACGTCCAGGCTCCAGGGTCCCCCCGTGGCCTGGCCCCAAACCTTCCCACAGCTCCACTGGAGGACTGAGGCCTCACTCTGGTTTTCAGAGGCCCTGGGTGTAGCTGAGAGCCGTGTGCTGTGGGCCTGGCTTGCTGGTTCTGTCCACCTCTGTCTGTCCTTGAGCACACGGTCCCCGTGACCTCCCTGTCCCCGTCAGGTTCCCGCTCCCTGCCCGGGGGCTCAGGGCGCAGCGTGGGTCTGCTGACCAGTGTGTGCGTGCCGGCTGCTGGCACAGATATTTCCAGGGCTGATCCTGTCCGACATCAAGCCCGCCAAGAGGATGAAGTTCAAGACGGTTTGTTACCTGCTGGTGCAGCTCATGCACTGCCGGAGGATGTTCAGGGCGGAGATCCCCTTCTCCAACGTCATGACCTGCGAGGACGACGACAAGGTAGGGGCCTCCCGCCCCTGTGGGGACCTCCCTGCCCAGGGCCGCCTGGCCCAGTGTGCTTTCCAAAGTGTAAATGCTGTTCAAAGCCAGGCTGCTTGTGTTTTCCTGGAAAAATCTTTCTGTCATCTTGCCCTTTTTCCAATTTGGCTTCCATGTGTTTGTGGGTAAATGCGTGCGTGGACCCCAACAGCAGTCCCTGAGGTTATCCATGCTGATCAGATGCTCTGCCGTGAGGTCTGGAGCCTTGGAGATGGCCCATGAGCCCAGGCGCCATTGGGTAGGCTTGTCTCCGGCTGCCCCCACCACCGGGTCTTCCGCTGTGCACTGCTTGCCTTTCTTTGTGTTCAAAGCTGTCCAGTCCATGGAAGGTGGCTTCCCCTGGGGGTGCCAGCCTCGTGGCCTGGCTGCCAGGATTTTCCCCCTTTTCTCTCGGGTTGGTCATAACTGTCTCTGGGTGTTCTGGTCTTCTGCTGGGTTTGGGGGGGCAGTGCTGCTCCGTGGTGGTCCCAGAGTCCACTTCAACCATGTTGGTCTTGTGTCTCAAGGGGCAGAGACCCTGGTCATCTGGGGCAGGGGTTGCATCCCAGGAGCCTGGGATAAGCCTGGAGTGCCGCCCCTTTCTCTTCTGTGTCCTCGTGTCCTGGGCCCCCCAGCCCAGTGTGGCTCCGTCCGTGACCCATGTCCATTTCCCGAGAACGCGCTGCTATCCACCTGCTCCTGTTTTCCCTGCTGTCCAGGATATTGTGCGGTGACGCGGAACTCCATCCCTGCAGTTCTGGGGTTTTTCAGGAAGAAGCAGGGTTCTGCCTCTGGCACTCCTGTGGGTTCTTGCTGCATAGGTTTTTGTGGTTTTGACTGTGAGCTCACATTTGTGAGAATTTTGCTGGAAATTCTTGAAGAGCTGCGCTGACGTGGGTTCTATCAAGACTGGCCTTCCCCTCGGCCAGTGTGCTCGGTGGATTTTGGAAGTTCCAGGCAGGCAGATGTGTGCAAATGTGTCCCCTTGGTGCAGACCCGGGTCTAAGACTGTCCCCCATGCCAGGGCTCCCCTCACTGGTGTTTGTGACGGGGCCACTGGAGGCAGGCCGTCTTAGGACTTTGACCTCACTGCCTGCCCTGCTCTCGCCCCGTGTCGCTGTAGCTGGCTCGTGAGGGATGACGGGCTCTCCAAGCTCCCTGGGTCTCAGACGGCAGCGGTACATCAGCCACCTGCCCAGCCTGGGTTCCCACATCTGGATGTCCTCTAGTGACTTTCTTACCAGCTTCATGTGCATTTGAAAGTGTGTGTGCGTGCACGTGTATGAGTGTGTGTATTTGGGTGTATGCACGTGCACACACATGTGTGCGTGCACCACTGTGTGCACACAAGGGTGCATGCACGCACATGTATATGAGTTGTGCACACGCATGCACGTGGGAGTGTGCATGAATATGTCCGTGCAAGTGTGCTGTTGTGGACACTGATGCATGCATGAGTATGCACATATGAGTGCGTGCACATACACAGGTGTGTCCATATGCATGTATGAGTGTGCACATGCGGACACATGTGAGTGTGTGCTCACATGTGCATGCGTGTGTCCGTGTGCACACACGAGTGCATGCACACATGTGAGTGTGCGTGGAATTGTCCACAGGAGTGTGTGCATGTATGAGTGCACGCACACATACACGTGTGCCGGCACGTATGGGTGTGTGCATGCACACACGTGTGCCTGTGTGACGAGTGTGTGAATGCATGTGTGTACATGTATGAGTGCGTGTACAATGTGCATGCATGCACCAGTGTGTGTACACGAGTGTGACACAAACACGTGAGTGTGCATGCACGAGTTTGTGAGTGCAAATGTCCACATGAATGTATGAGTGCGTGCACACGTGTGCCTGAGTGTATGGGTATGTGCGTGCATGTACGCGTGTGCATGTATGAATGCACACATGTGTGCGTGCACATGCATGCCTGAGTGTACTGGGGTGTGTGCATGCATGCACATGTGTGTGTGGCCCTTCCCTCCCTGTTGTCTGTAGTCTCTGGATCCCTCGCCCCCCGTCCTGCTCCTCCTTCCCCTCCTGGGAGCACAGAGCCATGCTGGTTTCCTCCCGTCTCCCGCATCCTGATCCTAGCCCAGCCCTGACACCCTGAATCTCTGAGTGCGGGGGGCCTCCCAGGTCAGGCTCTACCCACCTCGAGACTCTGCTCCTTCATCTCCGTGTGCTCCAGCCTCCCTCTTTGGGGGACACCTGCTGCCTCACACTCTACCGGGTGCCTAATGCACCGTGCAGGTGTGCACTCCTGCTGTTGTCCCTGTCACCATGCCCGGTGCCCCAGTGTCCAAGGTCGAGCCCCCCAACTGTCCTGTGGTTTCAGGGCTCTCCATCTGCACACAGCTCCCCGAGCTGAGAGGGTCTCTGAACCCCAGGCTTCACCCCATGTCTGGTCCCTCCCCACCAGCCAGCACTCCCAGCCTCCATGGCCTGGGCGGTTCCCCTGCCGAGACAGAGGCACAGGCATGTAGTGGGTTGGGGGCCCGCGGCTTCCCCTCATCGCCACCTCCTCATGAGGACTGAAAATAAGCCCCACCGGGCAGGATGGCAGTGTCTACACCGTGGGAGGCCTCCCAATGGTTGGGACAGGGCAGTGACAAGGCTGGTGGTCTGGACAGGGTAGAGAGGTGCAGAGGCGGGGCCGGCCCCCTAGTGAGGGCACCTGGGGAGGTGACCGTCCAGTGACCTGAGGGACAGGCTTTTCTGCCTGCAGACACTGTCCCCACAGCCCCCAGAGCCTGTGTCCCCTTCGGGACAAGGTCTCTCACTGGCCCTGCGTCCCAATCCTCTGCGTCCAGGCCTTACTTCCATGCAGGCGCCCTCGCGTGTGGTCAGGGTGGGCGTGCTGGCCAGACAGCGCTGAGCTGGTCCGTCCCACTGCATACCGCGGGTCACACGTATGAATTTAACGAAAGTCGGCGGGATGACCTACGTGTGGTTTGGTCACCTGTTTTGTTACCTGCCAGGACGGCATCACAAACGTTTCTCATATTAATAAAAGTTCCTCCGAAATACGATGTTTATGTCACTGTGGGGGTCTCCAAACTGAGGACAGATCCTGTATTGATTCTACGTCCATTGACGTTTAGGTCATTTATGATTCTTTTGTTTCCCGGGTGGCGTGAATAACTCACAGCGTTTTTCTCACGGAGCTCGTGGACGTCTGCAATCACCTTGGGACACGCACGTCTGTGGGTCCCGGGTCGGCGAGAGCGGCGTATGGTCCGTGTCCACACAGCTCCCTGCGCCCTGCCCAGCGCTGCGGGTCCGCACACCTGCTCCCGTATCTGTGTCTCCATCCTGGCCAGCAACTTTGCAAACATCGTTTCTACCATTTCGGATGTGAATTTAACAGAGAGAACTTTCAGCTCATCCGATACTCATCCTGCTACCTTCCTCCCCCGCTCTTGAGTGTTCTCGACGCACAGTCGAAGCGTGACTGACTCCTTCTCCATCTCGTACATACTGTTTCCAGTGGGAGAGGCACGCTTTCCTCCCGGCTTTGCAGACTGTCACTGTGACGCTTTTGGTCAGAAGCAACCACCCACGTGAGCAAGTGTTGGCACTTCTGCATATGAGTGGATGTGGAATTTCAGAAACCGTTCAGTAGCTACTGGGATGACCCGTCCGGTGATTTTCTCCCTGACTTGCACAGTGATGGGGCACAGGACCCTCCGGCATCTCCGGGACGCTGAGTAGCTGCTCTAGCTGTCTGAGCCGCGTAGTCAGGAAGCCCGAGCTGTACACCCAGCCTGTGCTTATCTGCTCTCTGCCTGGGACAGTGCCGGCTCCCCTCTCTGCCGACATAGTCACGCGTGGGCCCTTCTCGTGTGGCTTCCAGTTGTTGCTGGAGTGGATGCAGTGAGCCCTGCGGCTGCCAGCAGCCCTGGGCAGGTCTGTGTCCATCAGTTCCAGATGGGTCAGCCCAGGGCACAGTGGCTGTTAGCCGCTCACCACCTGGCACCCTGACTTAGGCAGGTGCTCCCTGACTGTGGTTGGGTCTCAGGCCAGGTCTGCCATCTGGTGACAGTGTGCACGGTACTGGGAAAGCCAGGCCGAGTGTGGCACTCTTCCCTCTCAGACCTCAGCAAGGACTGTTCGAGCATGGGCATGGGGTTGCTCAGTGCCCTCCGTGCCCCTCCTTCCTGTGTGTCCGGCCTGTTCCAACAAGAGGTTCTGCTCCTCTCACTGAGGGAACTTTGCAGCTGCTTCACCAAGACCTTGGGCGCCCAGGCCTGGCTCCACCCCTGTTGTGCCTCGTCCTGGCTGGGGAAGCCCGCCCGTTCCCAGGGTGACCGTCATTTCTAGAAAGTCACCTGTGAAGTGGTGATACCTTCAGGTCAGGGCCTGGAGTCCGGGGGCATTTCTGCAGCATGAGGGTCGACCACACCGGGGAGAACAGGGAGGGAGGGAGACGAGGGTACAGGATGGGAGGGAGCAGCCGCCTGCTGACCGCACCCCAGAGTGGCCGGTGTCAGGCAGGGCCGTGCATCGCCGTGTGCCATCCCCAGCTTGTGCATCATGGGTGGGAGATGCTTTCGCTTGTCTCTGCTGCTCTGCTGCCTCAGGGAGCAGCGTGTCTAAGCCGAGCCCCAGGGAGTGCCCTCCTGCCCAGCCCCACCCAGACGAGACCACCACTGGGCGCTGCAGGAGGTGCCGTCCTTCCTGTCCGCCAGTTCACCACCCGTGTCTCCCAGCACCCGCATCCCATGGTGGGGTGGGGCAACTGGGAGTGGGGGGCAGATGGGCACCGGCCCCCAAGGACGCCACCTCACACATGGTGTGCTCAGAAGTCCTGCTAGCCAGCAGTGGGTTCCGTGGCATCAAAGAAAACCCCAATCATGGCGGCTTGAAGGAAAGAGAGATTAGCTTTCTTAGGTTAAAATATCCCTGGAGAGTAGGCAAGATGAGGCTAACGTGGTGGCTTCACAATCATCTTGCGCTAGAGCTCTTCTGTGATACTCTTCTGGCTTGCCTGCTGTCACCTCATGGCCCAAAACAGATGCTGGGGCTCCAGTCATTGCATCCCTGTTCCAGCTGGCAGAAAGGAAGGGGGGCAGGTGAGTACATTTCAGCCGCTAAGCCAGCTTTCCTAGCCTGCCCAGGCCTGCTCCTCCATGTCCCCACAAGCCCTGCCTGTGACCAGAGCTGGTCACGTCTCCTGCCTTGGGTCAGTGAGCTGAGCGGTGGCTGTCAGCCTCCCAGGAGCCCACCCCGCAGCCTGGCCCTTCTTCCTGGCTTCCCAGGAGGAACTTATAGTTCCCGGTGTGTCTGCCTTGTCTGGGTCTCCATGTGGACGGGGCCTTCAACCTGCCTGCTGTCGCCACTGAGAATACGGAGAGCCAGCTCGAGGACGCGGTCTGGGCCAGCGTGTTTCCAGCTCCTCCGAAGCATGAATGTCTCAGGTCCTGTGAGAACACCCCTCGGGGGCCACCTTTGTTCTCACGTGTCAGACCAGGAGGTTGGAGCACGGAGAGGTTAAGCAGCTCAGTCACAGTGCACAGCGCCTGGCGTTCAGGTCTGCACTGAAGCCGCCAGCCTTCCCTTTCGCAGGTGCAGAAAGACTCGGGCAGCCAAGTTCCACAGCAAAATGAGCAACAGTTTTCTCTTAACCTTGATTTTGAATCGTCTTCCAAGGAAATGTTTGTTGTGGAATGTTGAGAAAAATATGGAAAAGGGGGAGACCGTGATCCCGCCCACAGGAGGTGGCCACAGCTCCTGTCCTGTCCCATCAAAGAGGCCGCACGCAGGTCAGGGTGCGGCAGGTCTTCCTGTCTCGCTGCCCAGACTTCCCTGCGTGCCCTGGACGGTGCGGGCCCCCAGAAATCAGCCCTGTCCTCGTTGGCCTCTGCAGACTCGGGGCTGGCAGGCGCACACTTGCTCCTCCCGGAATAACTAGCACCGTCGTGCAGATCCAGGGGCCGTGGTGCCCGCTGGCCTTTCCCTGCACGCCGGGTGCTCATGGGACCCGACCTGCTGTCATGGGAGGTGGCGGGGTGCGGCATTTTTATCGTGTGGAAATGCGTTAGGTCCGGGGGAGGGGGGGGGCGCATTCACAGGAGCCCACCAGGGGTTTGCTGGCTCTGCAGGCCCCGAGCACAGGCGGGATTTCCTGTGCTTGTTCTCGGGCCCCAGGGAGCCCGGGGCGGAGGAATGGGAAGGAGCACGTCCACAGGCTGGTGTTTGCGTGGGAGCAACACGCACGCTGCCCACAGAACGTGGGTGGCTTGCTTCCAAGCAGGGACTGCGGGACGAGCCTCAAGGTCCATACCTGTTCAGCATTTCCGCAGCTTTCTGGGGGTAGGGGTGACCCACCACCCTGACCACACGCGCGCCAGGCAGCGTGCCCAGAGAGGCCTGGGGCCCCGGCGGCCTCCCGCGGGGTCGCAGCTCACCCAGCGTCTGCACGGACCCAAAAGACGGCATGGGCTTTGCTGACTGGTGTGTGTGGCTCTGGCCCGCGTCATCTTGGCGGCCACACCCCAGATCCGGGACATTTCCTTCACGGCCACGGTCCCCCTTGTGCTGGGGTCACACCACCGCCCTCCCCAAAGCTCTCCGTCCCGTGACGCACACTTGAGAGTGTCACATACACCCTGTGACCTTGGCTCTTTCTTCAGACTCAGCACAAAGCCCGGGGGTCCGTCCAGGCTGTTCCCACCTCAGCAGCTGCCTCTGGCCGTGGCCGGACGTGTTCCACGGTGGGGAGGGACCGCCGCTGGCCTGGCCTGTTGAAGGACCTTTTGGTTGTTTCCCACTTGGACTGTTGCAAATAAAGCAGCAGTAACCGTTTGCCTTCAGAGTTTCATGCCCACATAACTGCCTATTTGCTGGGGAGATGCCCAGCTGTGCCGCCGCTGGGTCTTCGTTATTTGTTTTATTTTTTTTAAGAAACTGCCAAACGGTTGGTGGCGTGATTGCCCCATTTCACGTTCCCAGCAGCCACGTGTGAGCGATCCGGCTTCTCTCGCCAGCCCGTGGCGCCGGCACTGTTTCCAGAACGTTTTGGCCGTCCCAGTAGGTGTGTAGTGACGCCTCAGGATTTTACTTGGCGTGTCCCTGGTGGTTAATCATGCCGACTGTCGCTTCCAAGTCCTTATTTTCTGTCCGCATAGTTTTCTCTTCTGTTTTTGGGAAAATGTCTGCCTTGCTTTCTAATTCGAGTGATTTCTTGGTGCTGTGGAATTCTGAGAGTTCTTGATAAATTCTCGATTCTTCCATCGCACGTGTGGTTTGTACGTGTCTCCACCCAGCCTGTGGTTTGTCTTTCACAGGACGGACGTTTTAAATTGTGAGGATGTCCAGTGCACCGACGTTTTTCCTTGTGAACAGAGTTTGTGTCTGGTGTCGTACGAGCTTTCTACGTAGCCCAGACCCCGAGTTGCCACGTTTCTTCCAAGAGTTGATACTGATCTGTTTTATATTTAAACCTATGGTGCATATTGAGTTCATCTTTTATAAGGTGCAAGGTTTGGGTCAAGATTTACTTCTTTGCCTGTGGACATCCATTTGGTTCAAAGTCATTTGTGGAAAAGACTACCCCTTCTGCCATTGAACTGCTGTTGCGTTTTTGTCCAGAATCATTGCCCATACCTGTGTGAGGCTGTTTCTGGGCTGTCTCGTGTGTTCTGTTCCTCTGCCAGCAGCAAACTCTCCTGATCAGAGCAGCTGTGCAGTAAGTCTAACATTGGGTTGAGTGATTTTAAGAAAAATGTCTTCTAATCCATGAGCACATGTGTCCCTCCGTGCACTGAGATCTTTGATTTCTTTCATGAGTGTCACTGATACTGATGAGAGTATGTGATCGAAAATGATGGAGATGATGAGAAAACTGATCACGCTTTCAGCATACAAGTTGTGTATGTGTTTTGTTAGAATCATATCTAGTCCTTCATTTTCCCCTGTGATTATAAACGGTGCTGGATTTTAACTTTGGTCGTCATGTGCTGATTGTTAGTTTAACAAATATCTTTGTTTATTTACTTGTCTATCTTTAGAGAGAGAGAGAGCGTGTGTGGGACCAGGGGGAGGGGCCGAGGGAGGGAGAGAATCTCAAGGTGACACCCCACTGAGCGTGGAGTCTGATGTGGAGCTCGATCCTGCGACCCTGAGATCACCACCTGAGCAAAAACCAAGAGTCAGATGCCCAACTGAATGAGCCACCCCGGTGCCCCAATAAATAGCCTTTCTATGTTTATCTTGCATCCGATGACCTTGTGGAATTCATTTGTCCTGGGACTTTTCCTCCCCTTGGAATTTTCTATGTAGACCATCATGTCATCTGCAAACAGGGCCAGTTTTGGTTCTTTCTTTCTAGTATTTGCCTTGTATTTCCTGTTCTTGCCCTATTGCAGTGGCTGGGTCTCTAGTGCCTCTGAAAGTCAGGGGGAAAGCGTTCCACCTTTCACCAGCGCGTAGGACGTTACTGTTGGAACTGCATAGGTCTGCATCCAGTTGGGGAATTTCCCTCTTTCCCTAGTTGTCTGATTGTGTTTATCAAGAATGAGTACTGGATTTTGTCAAGTGCTTTTTCTATATCGATTGACGCACCATGGGACTTTTTATCTGGTGGTTAATAGGGTGTTACCATGGTGTAGGCTTCGGTGTACGAATGTGTAAGCAGACTTGTGTCTCTAGGAATGGTCGTGGCATGTGCTGCTGTTCATACACTACTGAATTCTGTTTGCCCACATTTTGCTGACAATATTGAAAGACATGGCCCGTACTCTTCCTTTTTTTGTACTGTCTCTGTCTGATGTTGGTATCAGGATCACACTGAATTTATAAAGTACGTTGGAAGGTGTTACCTTTTCTATTTTCACGAAGAGATTGTATAGAATTGATGTTAATTCTTATTTAAATGTCTGGTAGAATTCTCCAGTGAAACCCTCTGGGCCTGGAGATTGAGTGTTCAGGAGTTTTCTGGTTAGGAATTGAATTTCTTTAGTAATTACAGGACTAACCTTGTACTCTTCCGTGTCGGGTGAGGTGTGGTCGTGTGTTTCGAGTAGCTCATTGATCCGAGTTGTCAATCAGCGCATCACTGTTCACAGTGATTCCTCCTTGCCTTTCCGACGTCCACGTGGCCTATAGTGGAATCAGATGTCATTCCTGCGTTTGTGAGCGCCGTACTCTTTCCTTCTTTGTCACGCCTGCGAGACATGTGTCCATCTTATTGACATTTTTGAAGGACCAACCTCTGTTTCCTTGCTCTGCTGGGTCCCGTCTCCATGTACACGGGGTGCCACGTGAGCGCCGCATGTCCCCATTTGCAGACGCGGGGGTCCTGGCGGGGAGGACAGGCTCGGTGGCCTGGATCTCAGCGCTAGCAGGTGGGGGAGCCCAGACCGCGTCCGAGCCCCGAGCCCGGCCCCCCAGCCTGCAGCGGGCGAGCCCACGGGCGGGAGGGCGCTTTCTCCGCAGCAGGTGGGGTGATGCTCTTTCCTTCCTCCGTGGCCACAGCGGAGGGCGTTGAGAACCGCGTCGGAGAAACTCAGAAACCGCTCGTCCTTCTCTGCCAACGTCGTGCACACCGCGCCGGGCACGCGGGTCAACAGGTACATCGGCCGCCTCCTGGAGGCGCGCCAGATGGAGCTGGAGATGGCGGACCTGGACTTCTTCACCCTGAAGTACAAGCAGGCGGAGCGCGAGCGCAAGGTAGGCGCCGGCCGGGGTGTGTGCGGGGGGCCGGGCCCTGGCTGTGGCCCCCGCGCTTGTCCTGCTGACTCGGGGCGGCCCCTGCATGGCTTGGGCCGCCGCTGACGGCCGGACGCGGTGTCTCCTAGTACCACCAGCTGCAGGACGACTACTTCACCTGTGCCGTGGTGCTCGCGCTCGTCCTGGCCGCCGTGTTCGGCCTTGTCTACCTGCTCATCATCCCGCAGTAAGTGCGGCGGGCCCCGCGGTGAGGGGAGTCGGGCCGGGAGCCCCCTCTGTGTCCGCCACTGGCTCCCCCGTGGTCCCCACTCGCGGGGACGGCGCCGGCCAGCTGCCCCGCCGCCCGTGTGTGTGGGGCGCTCGCTCCTGGCTTGTCCCTTGTCAGGCGAACAATCCTAAGACACCTGCCGTTCTCGGTGTTTCCATCCGCACCACATGTACCCTCGACTCCAGGACCGATGTCGAGGGAGAAAAGGCACATGGGTTTCTGGGTGTGCATCCATTTCGGACACGTGAAAAAGAGAAAAAGTGGTTTCTGGAAAAGGAGGAAAGTGTAGGAATTTAATGACATGCGGTTATCTGGAGTCAAAGTGAGCTTGGTGGGCAGTGCTTGTTTTCGGTGGGAAGACCCACTCTCCTTCTGGACAAACCACTTTCTTGACAAGACCTCCCTAGGGGAGTCGTTCCCCTTTGTGTTTCCAGAGTTTCCAGAAAGCACAGGAAGCTGCCCTGTGCCCAGACCCTGGGAACACAGCGGCCACCTGCTGTCCCTGTGTGGGGACCAGCTTTTTCTAGAAAAGCTGCTCCCAGATGACATTCAAAGGGAGGGCTGTGCCCAGTGGCCCGTTCTTTGGGAGGGAGGACCTCACGGTGCACCCAGGCGGAGGGAAGTCAGGGTGGAGACAGGAAGGGGCTTGGCGGAGAGCTCAGGGGTTGGAATCACAGGCTCTCCTTGGCACGCCATGCTCAGCCCTGCCCGTAGTGACCCTGTGGCTTCTGTCCTAGGAGCGTGGTCGTCCTGCTGCTGCTGGTGTTCTGCATCTGCTTCCTGGTGGCCTGTGTCCTGTACCTGCACATCACCCGGGTCCAGGTGCGTGTGTGCGTTTGTATGTTCCTGTGCGCTTGAGTCCTGTCCCAGCGTGTCACCCAGTTCACTGCGTGAGCCCCATGGAACAAGGGAGGCTGGCTGGCAGGGCCGCGTCTGCTCACCTGCAGACTGGGGACAGCGGGGTCCTCACTGTCCTGCGGGAGGACTGGGATGGGGGGTAGCCCCACGGTGCCCTGGGCACCCTGGTTGGCTGCGGGTCTCGTGAGCGCCCTGTGCAAACTCCCTGCCATTGTTACTTGAGTTTTTGTTTCAAATTTCACGAGTGTGACTCTGAAAAGAACTTGGCTCTTTTACCCATGAAGTCACCTATTGAATATTGCAAAATGTACCTAAATGGGTTAAATAAAATTTCTCGTAACAAAAATGACTGCGAAGCCTCTGTGAAGAAAACGATAGAATGTACTTGAAGCCGATAAAAGAAGACCTAAATAAGTGTAACTTCTGGTTATTTCTGGGATGGAAGGATTTCCTAGGACAAAAATGTCACACTGGCCGGTTCTGTTCCTTTCAGCGCCAGAGTCACAGCGCGGGGTACGTGGTGGCGGGTGGAGTTCTTTTTAATTAAAGACTTTTGTTTTTGTTTCTTTTAATGTGGGCAGTTTGTTGACCTGGGAGGGGAAGCGGGAGCTCAGCCCAGGATTAGGGTTAGGGGGAGCCGCGCCGGGGTCCCGGCCACTCGCAGGGCCCTCTGCACCGTCTGCCTCGTGCCTGTTCGTAAACACCTGTTTTTACAGTAACGTGTTGTGTGGTTCAGTGTTTTCCAGGATGCCTAACTATCCAGATTCGCACCGTCTTGTGTATTTTCATCGTGGTCCTAATCTACTCCGTGGCCCAAGGCTGTGTGGTGAGCATTGCCGGAGGCAGCAGGGTGAGAGGAGTGAGATATGGAGGCCGGTCGAGGGGGCGGCTGTCTCCTGGTGAAGGGACACCGAGCTCCTTTAACACGTGCAGATGACAGAAGCTCTCGGGCAGAGAAGCAGGACAGACTGGGGCAGGAGTGCCGGGAGGGAGGTGGGGGAGGGAGTACCAGGGGTAGACGGAGCCACAGTAACAACAGGGGAGGAGCTGGGGCACCCAGAGGAGGCCGGCAGGTGTCTCCAGCCCTGGCCCCACCCACCCCGCTGTGAGGAGCTTGGAAGGCAGAGTAGGAGGGAGGGTTCTAGGCCCTCTTGAGGCCCTGGGGTGGGGGTAGGGGGGGGGGGGTACTTGGGGGGGGGGCAGGTCACTAGGGGGCAGGTCCCCTGGGGGGGTCACCTGGGGGCGCCTGTCCCGAGCCAGGGCCCGTAGCGGGCTGGGGATGGTGGGCAGGCTGGTCCTGAGCAGGTGTCTCCCCGCCCCTCTGCCCCCTCCAGGTGGGCTGCCTGCCCTGGGCCTGGAGCTCCAGCCCCAACGGGTCCCTGGTGGTCCTGGCGCCCGGCGGCCGGAACGCCCTGCTGCCTGCCGCGCCCTGCGAGTCGGCCCCCCATGCCCTGCTGTGCGGCCTCGTGGGCACCCTCCCGCTGGCCGTCTTCCTGCGGGTGTCCTCGCTGCCCAAGATGATCTTGCTGTTTGTGCTCACGGCGTCCTACATCCTGGTCCTGGAGCTCAGCGGGTACACCCGGGCCTCGGGGTAGGTGCGCTCCCCCAGCGGGACACGCCTGGGTGGGGTCGTGTGCGCCCACTCGGGCGCTGCCTGCTCCGGCCCGCAGGTCAGGAAGCACCTGGGCTGTGCGGCTTCTCCGTGTGTCCGTCTGGGCCCTGGTCTCCGGGCGAGAGTGGTTCTGGCCTGGGTCCATGGCAGGTGCTGGCGAGCGTGGTGTCCTGGGCCTCACAGGGCCAGGTCTGGGGCTCTCCGTGCTGACGAGCTTCCCTTTCTCATGCCCTGCAGGGGTGGCGCGGTGTCTGGGCGCAGCTTCGAGCCGATCGTGGCCGTCCTGCTGTTCTCCTGCACGCTGGCCCTGCACGCGCGGCAGGTGGACGTCAAGCTGCGGCTGGATTACCTGTGGGCGGCACAGGCAAGACGCGCCCTCTCTGCCCCGTGGGGGGGTGGGTGGCTTGGGCAAGACGTGCCTTCTCTGCCCCGTGGGGGGCTGTGCGACAGAGGGGCCCCTCAGGAGGGGGATAGAGCTCGTGTGGGTGGAGGAGGCAGGGCTGGGGCCCGGGAGGAGGACGAGGCCGGGGGAAGGCAGCGCTGGGCAGCTGGTGACCGTGTAATGGGCCCTGCCTGATGGGCGCACGAGTGTGGCGGTGTTTCAAGCAGTGAGCTGCCCATCCCCAGAGGCATTCGGGCCCGTGGGGCTGCGGTGCAGAGCGGCTCTGCCTTCCCTGGGCTGCCTGTGACAGTGGGTCTCCTCAGGGTCATGGGAGACTCTGGAAAACACCGGCGCCTGCACCGTGCGCCCCAGATTGAGTGGGTCTGTGGGTGGGGGAGGGTGGGAACCTCCATCATTTCCAAGCGTGCTGGCAAATTCTGGCGCCAGAGTCCTCCAGGGGGCTGAGGAGTGCAGGTGCGGGAGCTGTCCCTGGGCCCCTAGCCCCGGGGAGGGAGGCGACGACCACCGGAGCCTCGCTCTGTCCACCTGCCTAGTGACCAGCGCCCGGGGCACTTCTGGGCCGTTCCTAGGACGCGCGGGGCTGGTGTCTCCGGGACCCGCTCGTCACCTGCTGCGTCCTCAGCCTTTGGACCGGGAGGCCGTCTGGCTTTCAGGATCGAGTTCAGACTCTGTCTGTGCCACATGCAGACTTCTTGACGCTGGGCAGGTGCTTCTGCTCGGCTCCCCCGTCTCGGTGTGGGCAGGAGGCGTGCGGCAGGATGGAGGCTGGGACTGTTAGCCCTCCAGGGTTTTCTTCTTCTGATGCATCAAGAAGCAGCTTTCCAGTGTCGGGGCATGGAATTGTGTTTGTTCTCACGGGGGTGGGGCCTGCAGGTGGGGAGCGGAGCACAGATGCACAGGGCCCGCACCCAGGCGGCTGGGACACGGCTGAGCTGGGATGACCAGGGGTCCGAGTGGGGTCCGGGGCAGCTGGGAGCCTCCTCACCCCGGGAGCCCCGTGTGCAGCCAGGGACCTCACGGGGGGCCAGGGCACTGGGACACCTGCGGCCTGACACTGAACAGGCCTCCCTCCCTGACTGCGGCCGTTTGCCAGAGTCTCGCTGGGTCACAGAGAATGGCCCCTTTTGTGGGCTCTGCCGAGGGACCTGGTCTTGTCTGGCTCCGGCCGGCTGTCCAGGGTGGCCGGGCTGGCTGTTGTGTGGGGGTGCCCGCCCCGCGGTCAGCGGGCCCCTCGGGCTTCTGGTCTGGGTTGTGACTCGCTGCCCGGAGCTGGGAGGACAGACTCAGGAGGAGCCGGGGACGGGGACAGGCTAGGGACCTGCAAGTCTGGCCTCCAGCTTGTTCACCAGGCGCCTGCTCCGCGGCTGCCCTCCCGGACCCAGGCCGGGGCGACGTGTGCTCTCATCTGGTCCCGCAAGCGCGTTTCTGGGCATCGGCATCCCTTGAAATGTCGGTAAGCCTGGCGCTTGACCCTGCCCTGGGGTCCTCCAGAGCCGGCACACCGTGCCACACCTGGCCCCCGCCTCCAAGTGAGCTTTCCAGAGACTTCCCATGTCACCGGGAAGGGTCGCCTACACGCAGCCCGTGGACATGTTTTTCCAAGGATGCTTAACGAGAAATGCCACCTCACCTTCCTGTGAACCCAGCAAAACAAGGCCATTTCTACACTTCGCCTGTCTGCCCTCTGGGTACCTAAGCCTGTCTTGCAGGCATCACGGTGTCTCACACTGATGTGAAATGGCCAGGCCAGAGCCGAGGGGTTAATGAATGACTGAGCCTGGGCTGCCCATAAAAACCTGCGTGCTCGGGCTTGCCTCTCTCTGTGTGGCCGTCATGGTGCTTTTGTTCCAGAACATGTTTTCTTTAGACTCCCCAGAAATTTTGATGGTAATAAGGCCGCGGATGTCTGTACCAGAGAATGCTTGACTCGGGAGGGTGGTTCCTATTGGTCCTGGTGCCATATTGGTGGTGCTCAGTGGAGGGCAGCCCCGCGGGGGCTTGCGTGTGACGTAGGAATGGTTCTACGTATTGTTGGATTCACTTGGCCAAAATTCGGTAAGAATATTTTCATCCCCGTTCGTGAGTGTTGTTGTTCTGTAGTCTTGGAGGGAAGACAGGGCTTTGAGGTCCGAATGAAGCAGGCCTCATGAGTGGGAACGTGTGGCTTCTTTTTGGGTTTCCGGAAGAGTCCCTAGAGTTGGTACCATTTTTTCCTCAGATATTTGGGGCTGTGAAGCCCGTGGGCTTGGATTTGTTTGTATGTATCCAGGGTGGGAAGGTTTTAACCAAAATCAGTGTTTCTAAAGGTAAAGGGCTATCAGGTTTTCCATTTCTTTCCGAGGCATCTTTGGAAATTTATATTGTTCCCTGAACGCTGTTCATTCTGTTGTCACAAAATTATTTTTACCCTTCCGTCCTTACCCGCTTGCCATCTATAGGATTTGTGGTGATGTCCTCTCTCCTGCTGAGGTAGAATCGTGTAGACTCTTTTTTTTTGATCAGTGTGACCAGAAGTTCATACGTTTTACTGATCTTCTCAAGAAATAGCATTCGGGGGGGTGCGCCTGGGTGGCTCAGTGGGTTAAGCCGCTGCCTTTGGCTCAGGTCATGATCCCAGGTCCTGGGTTCAAGCCCCACATCGGGCTTTCTGCTCAGCGGGGAGCCTGCTTCCTCCTCTCTCTCTGCCTGCCTCTCTGCCTACTTGTGATTTCTCTCTGTCAAACAAATAAATAAAATCTTAAAAAAAAAAAAAAAGAAATAGCATTCGGTTTTATCGATTTTCCTGTTATTTTTGAGTTTCCCGTTTCGGTGGATTCCACTTTCATCTTTATGTTCTTCTGAGGACTCTGGGTTTACTCGGCTCTTATCTTCTACTTTCTTCTCTGATTCCGGGGTTTTGTTATCCATTTCCTCCAAGAGCTGCTTTAATCGCACCAATTTTGACATTGTATGTCATTGCATTTTCCTTTGACTCAAGGACTTTCTGGTTTTGTGTGTGCGTGTGCGTGTGTGTGTTTAAGGTCTTCTTTCGACCAAAAGTTACGAAGAAATACATTCTTCTTTCTAAGGTTTCCCAGCGATCTTCTTGTTTTTTACTTTCTACTTAGTTATATTGTGATCAGACCTTATGCCTTGTAGCCTTGAATTCTTTAAACGTCCTGAGAATTCTATGCTCCGTGCTCCGTTCTGTCGCTATTGGGTGGTGGGTTTTTAAGTATCAGGCTGGCCGAGAGCGTTCCTCAGTCCCCCAGGCCCTCACAGACTTTCTGCCCATCCTGCCGGTTTTTGAGAGAATCATGTTGAAACCTCCCACTGTGCCTGTGCACGGAAGGCAAGTGCCTTTTGAAACGAGCTGCACTGCAGAGGGGACAGCTTGAAAACAGCGTGTTGCTTGTGTCTCTCACGCGGTGACAGGGACAGTGCGTGCCGCCCACATTAGCTCTTTCTCACCTGTACTTTGGGTTTCCGGGTTGGTAGGAAAATCTCACAAAAAGAGAACTTCAGTGAGTTTTCTCGTATTGGTTAAAAACACAGTAACACAACTTTTTCTGCTTAATTTGTAAGAAGATGGACACTTATCCAACACATGTCATGTAAACCTTTGCATGTGGAGATGTATTAAAAAACAGTAATTTTTTTGCTCTTCTGCTGGAAATAAATGTCAGTGAATTCTAGGTCATTTGAAAGACACTGACCTTAGAACCAAAGCTTTTGATCACAAAGCGATAAACCAAGATTCTTTATTTTGCAAAGTCCGAGTGCCTTCACTTGCGTTGTTTTCTGTAAGGAATCTTAGCACTAACGATATTTGGGGAAGAGCAAAATTTTTAGCGCCGTCAACAAATAAAACCGCTCCCTTAAAAATACGGACTTCCTCTTCATCTCACCCTGCAGAAAGCTGCTCTTGCGTCTGTTGGTGCGCGTGTGTTGAGAGGTAATGACCTGCACGTGTCCTGGGAGAGGTTCCGGCTTCCTTCTGGCACCTCCCTCTCTCCCACGGCCGCAGCCTCCCTCCTGCAGAGGCCTGCTCGTCTCCACCCAGTCTTGTAGCTTCTGGGCTCCCTCTCCTGTGCCCCCTGCTGCCCAATGGTACGCTGCGAGGGGGGACAGGGCCCATCCTGTTGCCTTCCCCAGCACAGCGCCCAGAGGAGGCCCAGGGCTGCTGGCCGCGCCCCTCATCCTGGCCGCGCTGTCCCCTGTGCTCCAGGCGTCCTTGTCCTTGTGCCTGGCTTCTGTAGCTCTGCTGCTGGGAGTCGCCACTTCCTGCCTTAACTGGTGGAAGTTGCACTGAGGTAACAGTAGCGGACAGTTCCAGGCTTAGTAGGTAGTACACGCTCCGTAACGTTTGATAAGTAAGAGTGCGACCCTGAAACGGAGCATTTTCCCTCCATTTTATGATGAGGAAGCTGGAGCCTGTCACGTGGCCATGAAGCGGGACTGGAACTGGGAAGGGTTGCCTCCAAGCCCAACAGGCATCCCTGTATCACTGTTGCCACCATCAGAGGCCAGTGTCCCCAAGCCTGAGGCAGCCCGAGAAATGTTCTCCAAACTGCTCCTTTCATAGGTTGGGCGGCTGCCAGGTTTGGGAGCTTGGGTGAGTGACCAACGGCCATCTGGTGGTTTTGGTGTCTGAGGGCTGGCGTGGCTGCTGCAGCAGGGCGGGAGTCATTGCTGCCAGCTTCATTAGTCTGTGCAAAGGCCCTGTGGTCCAGAGGTTCTCCCATCTGCCCAGCAGCATACCCTGGGAGAGCCTTGTTGGGCCGCACCACCTGCTCTGGAGAGTTTGCGCTTGCCTGAGTCCCGTTGATGCTGTATCTGTCCCAACCCCAGATCCCTGCAGGTCTCCCTGTCTCAGGGCCCAGGATGTCAGTGGTGCTGGCAGTGCGGCGATTCTAGAGGAAATGGGATTGGCTGCCTGGCTTTGGGCGTCTCGAGTGACTGACACAGCTGGCACATGCCTGTGAATGTTCTGGGGCACATCGGAGGCTGCCTGGGGGGAGCCTCAGGTGCTGCAGGGGTCAGGGTCCCAGAAGGCGGTGGGGAGTGTACCCTGGAAATGGGGTGAACCCCCCACTGTCTGTCCTTTGAAAGTCACAACGGATCGGGGTGGGGACTTACCCAGAAATTCGTGGCTCCTCTGGACCCCCGGGATGTCGATGCAACGGCTCTGCCTGGGGCGGGGTGTGGAGACGAGCCTGTGTAGACTATGGGCCAGCGCCCTTGGGGTCTCGTTCGGATGATTGCAAAGAGCTGGGTGCTGTAGGAAAGCTGACCCGTGACGGGTGTGGGACAGATGTCATTTAAAGCCATCGGCACAGGTGCGGCACAGGCAAGTGGGGGCTTGTTGTCAAGGAGCAGGTAGGGGTCGGCAGACAGAAAATCGCCAAGGGGAAATGTCAGGGGTGTGGGGTCTGAGGGTCTGACCTAAGGGGCTTCTGGCTGGGGGCAGCGCACGGTGTCGGGTGTGCCCCGGGAGTGAGGGGCTGGGGAACCCCGTCTGACATCCCCGGGGGGGTCGGGCTGGACTCCTGGTTCTGCTGAGACCGTGACGCCGAGGCCCTCAGACGCCCACGCGGTGCCCGGCTCGAGGGTCGGGGTCGGGGTCCGCCTGGTCTGGGGCAGTCTGTCACGGGGGTGCCGGCAAGGGGAGGAAGCCGCGTGGGTAACGGAGGCTCTGCCCGCAGGCGGAGGAGGAGAGGGACGACATGGAGAGGGTGAAGCTGGACAACAAGCGGATCCTCTTCAACCTCCTGCCGGCCCACGTCGCTCAGCACTTCCTCATGTCCAACCCCCGGAACATGGTGAGCGGGCACGGCCTCCCGCTCCACCGGCGGGGCTGCCTGCGGCCGGGGCCCACCCGGGGGCCCCTCCCATCACGTCTCTGCTTGGAATTGGCTGAGCGGGGCCCCCTGCGTCCACTCGCCCGGGCACCAGGAGGCGCTCTCGGTCCCGGGACAGAGCAGAGCACCCGCCACCCCGCATGGAGGGAGAATGGGCCTCAGGAACCCGCGTTCAGGGCAGCCGGGGGGCCGAGCTTGCTGCGAGGGAGACTGGAACCACCCGCAGAGCAGGGCTCCCACACGCCAACTCAGACACAGAGAGGCTTGGTCAGCCTTTTTGATCCTAAAGGCACAGGGCCCAGGGCTCAGCCTGACCGGCTTTACCCTGAAGCTCCCAGGGCTCCCGGGGCAGCTCAGAGCCCACGCGTCCTTACCCGCCGCCCCCTCCCCTGCCCACGCCTGCTGCCCGGCGCCGCGGCTGACCTCACCTCTGCCCCCAGGACCTGTACTACCAGTCCTACTCGCAGGTGGGCGTCATGTTCGCCTCCATCCCCAACTTTGACGACTTCTACATCGAGCTGGACGGCAACAACATGGGTGTGGAGTGCCTGCGCCTCCTGAACGAGATCATCGCCGACTTTGATGAGGTGACTGAGCCGTGGCCCCCAGCGTGGCACGTCCCCCGCCCATGGACCTGAGAGGAGGCACGCATGTTCTGTCCCCTGGGGGGTCCAAACTGACCCTGACCATGCAGGAGGGGCCTCTGCCGCCCGCAGGCACTGAGTTCCGGTGGGGGGCGCTGGCTCCTGTCCCCTATTTAGTAAGGCTGGGCTTGGCGGGTGGCCTCACCTCCCAGACGGGGAGGAGGGGCAGGCAGGAGCCTGGGGTCTGCTCCCTGCCCCAGGGCGTCCCTCAGGCTGAGTCTCAGGCCGCTGCTGCAGGGTGGGTGCTCTGCTTGGTCCCTCCTGGGCTCCTCTTTCCCATGCCCTTGCCGGAGCCCCTCAGGTCGGCCCAGACCTTGTCCAGTGCCCACGACATAAGAGACACGCTGCTTCCCAAGACAGGCTCGCCGTCTGCCCTGGGGTTGCACCCACAGTGTTTTCTCTTGGCTGTTACGTAATGTTTGACAGTTTTGTGTTTTATACCAAGCTCATGGACAAAGACTTTTACAAGGACCTGGAGAAGATTAAGACCATCGGGAGCACCTACATGGCTGCCGTGGGGCTGGTGCCCACGGCCGGGTCCAAGGTGGGTGCTGGCTGGGGCTTTGCTTCTCAGGGACTGGGTCCCAGCTCTGCCCCAGACTTCTCTGGGACTCTGTGCGTGTTCCCTGATCTGAGTGCCAGTCTGCCCTAGCATCGGGTCAGGACAGTGGCCTGTGGGCTGTCCATTCAGGGGCCAGCTCTCTCCAGACTGTGTCGCATGGAAAGTCAGCCCCAAGGCCAGTCTCAGGGGGCTTGCTCTGGCCCTGCCCTGCCCCACTGACCCTTCCTCAGCAGCCCTGCCTCGTCCTCACTGGCCCTCTCCTCCCTACCAGCCACACCCCAGCCCTGCCAGTGCAGCACCATGGAGTGTTCCCCTTTCCCAAAGCAGAATTGTGAATAAAGCCCTCAGGTTTCCCTTTAAAAAAAGGCAAGAAAAGAAAGGTAGATGTAAAACAAAAATGCAATGAATGGAAAACGGTTATAAATATGGGAGATACTAATTCAGCCCTATCAATGATCACTTTAAATGTGAAAGGAAATATGCCAATTAAAAGAGACTGACAGAGTGGCCAAAAACACAAGACCTGACTAGCTTTGCCACAAGAAACACACTTTGACTATAAAGACACAGATACCTTAAGAATATAGGATGTAGAGGGAGGTCGCATTCTAGCACTCATAAAATAAAATTTAGGTGGCACTCTTAAGACAAAACAAACTTCAGATCAAGGAAAATGATCAGATAAAGAGGGAGACTGCAAGATGGTGAAGGAGTCAGTGCCCTAGGAGGACGTCACGGTCTTTAACGTGTACACGCCTAATAACAACACGGCAAAATACACAAGGCAAAGCACAGACGGGACCATGAGGAGCGACAGACGGACCCGCTGTCGTAGTCGCAGACGTCAGCACCCTCCCAGTCACGGGCAGATCCAGCCGGCTGCGCACCGCGAAGGTGGTTAAAGGGAACAGCATCACGAAGCGCCTGCGTAAAATCCGCACCTACCGGTGACTCCATGCGATAGCAGTGGAACACACATTCTTCCCGCGCTCAGGTGGGACATTCACCAAGACAGAGCACATCCAGGGCCGCAGAACGCACCTTAACAAGTTTAAAACCATTGAAATCCTACAAAGTGTGTTCTCAGACCAGAATGGAAGTGAACTAGAAGTTGATTGGTGGAGAGATACTTGGAAAATTCCTAAATGTTTGGAGGCTAAGCAACACTTGTCCAAACGACACGAGCCAAAGAAGGAATCTCAGGAGAGGTTTAAAAATGTTTTGAACTAAATAAAAAGGAAAATGCAATTTATCGAGGTCTGTGGGATGCAGCAAAAGCAGCCCTTAGAAAGAAATTTATGTCACCAAAGTACTATCTTAGAAGACAAGAGCAATCCAAAACCAGTCATCTGTGCTTACGCTGTAGGAAACTAGAGAAAGAACAATAGAAACCTCCAGTAAGAATGGGGAGGGAAAAAGAGCACAAATCAATGAAATTGAAAACAGGTAGGCACTAAAGAAAATCAATGATGGGGTGCCTGGGTGCCTCCATCAGTGAAGCGTCCAACTCCTGATTTTGGCTCAGGTCATGATGTCAGGGCTGTGAGGTCTAGCTCTGCGTTGGGCTCCCTGCTCAGCGTGCAGTCTTCTTGAGATTCTCTCTCTCTCTCTCTCTCTCTCTCTCCTGCCCCTCCCCTTGCTCGTGCTAAAAATATACAAACAAACAAACAAATAAATAAAATATCTTTTAAAAAGAAAATCAATGAAACTAAAACCTGGGCTTTTGAAAAATCAATAAAGTTGATAACCTCTGGCCATGCTAACCGAGAAAGGAAGAAAACACAATTACTAGTATCAGAAATGAAAGATGGGCCACTCGTACTGAACTGAAACATGAAAAAGTATGTTATGAGCAACTTTGTGCCCACCATTGTCATAATTTCGATCAAATGGACCACTTCCCTAAAAGCCAAAATCCCAACAAGGGGAAATTTAAAATTCCCTAAAAGCCAAAACTCAAACAAGGGGAAATTAAAAATTTTAACAGGCCCATGTCTATTAAAGAAATTGAATCAATAATTAGTAACCTTCCAAAAGAGGAGTAGACCCAGATGGGTTCACTGAACATTTAAGGAAGAAATTATACCAGTTCTCTAAAATCTCTTCCAGAAAGTGGAACTTTGTAACTCATTTCTTTCTAACTCATTTTATGAGTCCAGTATTATAATAATAAGAAAGTCAGATAAAGAAATTACAAGGAAGGAAGACCACAGGTCAGTATTTCTCATGAGTAGAGATGTGTGCGTCCTTAATAAACGTTAGCAGGTTGAACCCAACATTGTATGAAAACCATGGAGCACAAGGAAGTTGGAGTTGGATGTCCAGATACCAAAGCTGGAGCAACGTTTCCAAGTGAGTTCATGAAATTTACTATAGCAACTGGATAAAGAAGAGACATCACAGGTGACCATGTCATTTAATTCCTGCAGAACAGTCACTTGACAACATCCAGCACCCCTTCCTGATTTTAAAAAACAACTGTGAGCAAACTCTATGAATAGGAACCTTGTCAACTTGGCAAGGAACATCCACAAAATGCCGGTAGTTTTCCATCACACCTGATGAGAAACAAAGCTTCCCCCTCAGATTGGGAGCACGGTAAGAACGCCCCTTGTCATCACACCTATGTGACCTTGGTATTGGAAGTCTTAGCTAGTGCAATAAGACAAGAAGAGGAAATAAATGTACGTAGACCGGGGAGGAAGAAATAAAACACTTTTCACAGATGACATGATTATGTAGAAAATGAAAAAGAATCCACAAAATGTCTGTGATAAGTAACCCTACGGCGGTAGTAGAAAAAAAGATGAACAGATCAGTCAGTTCCCTACACAACGGCAATAAGTAGGTGGAATTTGAAATTAAAAACACAGCGCCATTGATCGTAGCACCCCCCCCCAATTAAATACTAGGTCATGTTTAACAAAGTAGCTCCAACGCGATCTCTGGGAGGAAAACAATCTTCGATGCAATAAATCAAAGAAGATCTAAGTACGTGAAGACGTAATGTTCCTCTGAGTGTTGGAAGACCCATGGTCTAGAGGTCAGTTGTGGCCGTCGATCTTACGGATTTACACAGTCCCACTCCAAAGTCCAACAGGTTGTTCTGTGATGTTGACCAACTGCTCCGGAGTTTACATGGAGGTCAAAGCCCCAGAGTAAGTTAACGCAGTACAGTAGAACAGAACGGGGTTGGAAGACTGACATTCCTGACTTCCAAGGTCAACCAGAAAGGGTGCCGTGATCAAAACAGTGTGATGCTGGGGGAGAACAAACAGCTAGATCGATGGAACAGAATAGAGCCAGACAGACCCATCAGGAGAGTCAACAGATCCCCGACGAGAGGGCAGATGGAGCAGAGGTAGCCAGCAACACACAGTGCTGGGACAGCAGCACGTCTGTCTGTGTAGCCGGACGTTAAAGCAAGATGTGCTAAACTAACTCATAATGGATCCTGGGTCTCCGTGTAAAAGGCAGACGTGTTAGACCTAGAAGAGAGAGTAAGAGAAGACCTAGGTGACCTTGGGTTTGGTGATGAGTTTTTAGATACAACACTGAAAGCATGATCCGCAGAAGAAAGCATCATTCTGCTGGATGTAATTAAGAATTTAAAATTCCATGTGGGAGATACTATAATGAAAAGACAATCCACAGACTGAGGGAAAATCTTTGCAAACCACTATCTGATAAAGGACTTGGATCTAAAATATACAAAGAACCCCCTGGGGCACCTGGGTGGCTCAGTGGGTCAAATGTCCGACTCCTGATCTCAGCTCAGGTTTTGATCTGAGGGTTGTGAGTTCAAGGCCTGCTTTGGGCCCCAAAATAGATACCAAGAACTCTTGACACTCAGCAGTAAGAAAACAAAGAAGCTGATTCAAGAGTGGACAAAAGATCTGAACAGATCTCTTCCCGAAGAAGGCACCCATGACAGGTAAGTGTAGGGAGATGCTCTGTGTCACATGTCATCAAGGAAATGTAAATCAAGACCGCGAGACCCCACTACACACTGATCAGAATGGCCAACATCCAGAACCCTGGGACACCCAGCGCTGGCGAGGACCCGGAGTGACAGGAACGCGCCCCCATGGCTGGTGGGGATGAAGAGGGGCACGGTGTGTCTAGAAGACAGTCTGGCTGTTTCTTACAAAACGAAACATACTCTTAACCCTGCGATCCAGCAATCACAGTCTTTGGCATTTACCCGAAGGAGCGGACAGTGTGTGTCCACACAATATGTGACCTGGGTGCTCACTGCGGCTGTACTCAGGACTGCCGAAGTTTGCAAGCCACGAGTGTCCTTCATTGGGTGAAGGGATAACGCACCGCGGTCCATCCAGACAAGGAGACGCTATTCAGCGCTGAAAAGGAACGACGTGTCACACGATGGCAACACGTGGAGGAAACTTGGATGCGTTTTCCGGAGGCAAGAAGCCAATCCGGAGATGCTGATGCTAGAGGATCCCAGTTATGGAATGTTCTGGAAGAGGCACAACTGTGGAGATGGTGGAAGGATTGGGAGTTGCCAGGGGCTGAGGGAGGGGGATGAACACACAGGCATGGGGGACGGGGTGGGGGACAGTGACGCTGCTCTGTTATGGTATAGTTGTGGGTGCATGAAATTCTACGTTTGTGGAAACCCACAGGATGTACACACGTACCTCCAAGCCCAGTGTGACCTGTAGTTAGTAACCATCGTGGGTCACTGTGGGCGCTTCGGTGGTAAGGAAGGTCCTAATGCAGGAGGTGACCGGGAGGGGTACCGTGTGAGGGAGGCGGCTGACAGGACTCTTACCAAAGGAAGACAATGGACCGTTGTCATTGTTTGGCACGAGAGAGGTCGCGTAGCAGCACAAAGAAGTGGGAGCCACGGGCTCTGCGTGAGGGGAGACCACCCTGCTTCCCTGTGCACCTCGGGCCGTGGCACCCCTGCCCCTGCCTGCAGGGGTGTGCAGCCCGTCGAGGGGCTGACCCTAAGCCAGCACCCAGCCTGCAGGCGGTGGACGCAGTTGTGCCTGTGTGATCCGGTCCCTGATCCCCCCGCGGGGATGGCAGGGCGCCTCCCAAGCATCCCCGGCTGTCAGCCTTGCCCTCACTCCCCCAAACGTGGTAACCCCCGTCTGCTCACGCACAGGCAAAGAAGTGCATCTCCTCACACCTCAGCACGCTGGCCGACTTCGCCATCGAGATGTTTGACGTCCTGGACGAAATCAACTACCAGTCTTACAACGACTTTGTGCTCCGCGTCGGTACGTGGCTGCGGGCGGCTGCCGCTCCGGCCAGCGCGCTGCGCTCACCCCACCCGGGGCTGGGGGCCTGCTCGCCCCCACCTACGCCAGGGCCCCAGGAGGGAGAGTGGGGTCACCCAGGGGCGGGCCTGGGGACACAGGGACCCTCTACCCCAAGGGGCACCGTCCAGCTCTCGAAACACCTCTGCGTCCACATGCAGCTGGAGGAAAATGCCCCCAGAGGTGGTTCTAGAATTCAGACGTCTAGTGTCCAGAGAAATATCTAAGAGCCGGAATGGCGTGAGGGCGGCAGCACAGCCACCAGAGCTGGAGGCATTCTGAGGCTCCGAGCACAGCTCTGTTTGAGGCCTGGTGCCCTCCCTGGTGCCCATCCTGGTGCCTGCCCGGCCTGCGAGCTGCGTTCCGGCTTTGTCCTCGGGCCGGAGCTCCACCATCCATGCAGTGATGCGCCGGGAACAGACACTTCCTGCCCCCGGGGACCTGGTGGGGTGCGAGCCCAGACCCTTTCGCCCAGCAGGTGGCTCTGTCTGGCCCACGCCCCCGCAGCCACTGGGTGAGGGGGGGTGCGGGGGGGGAGCAGCCGCTCAGGCCCCTGTCGGGTCCCCAGCTCAGCCCCAGGGCCATCCCACTGCTGGGCCTGAGGCACGGATGAGGTCAGTGGCCCCCGACATCATTACCACATGTGCCTAACCCGGAAAAGTCTGTGCGTGGGTGCAGAACAAGGGGACATGTGACATGGTGTCAGCAGAGCCAGGAAGCCCCGTTGTGGGATGGCTGCAGGAGTGACTGGCGCTCTTCCGGCAAGTCGGGGGCCTCTGCTCCCTACTTCAGAGATCCCGGAAGACGGAACAGCTGTGGGCCCCACACCCTGAACGCCCTGCAGGGTGGCAGCCCGGGAAACCGTCAGGAGCGACTGTGCCTCCTGGAAGGGGACCACGGGGGGACACACTGCCGTTCTGCAGTCTGAAACGCTTCCTGGCATTGGGGTTGCTGGTCCAGGAAACGGGACTCTCTCTGCTCCCCGGGGCTCATGTGTAAGCAGACACTGGGACTGGGGACCACCTCTTCCCAATGAGGTGGGTCCCTACTTTGGGAAGGGGCCCTGGGCTAGGTGACCCCAGGAATCCATGGCCCTGAGAGGGGCAGCTCCTTCCCCCAAAGCCTTGCCGGTGCTGATGGCACTCCGTGGCTGTCTTCCAGGCATCAACGTTGGCCCCGTGGTGGCCGGGGTGATCGGGGCTCGAAGGCCACAGTATGACATTTGGGGAAACACGGTCAACGTGGCCAGTCGGATGGACAGCACCGGTGTCCAGGGCAGAATCCAGGTCAGTCCGCTAGAGTTGCCCAGGGCGTGGGTGCCGTCCTGCAGGTGTAAGGCAGGTGTGGGGGGGGGTGGGGGGAGCAGCTCAGTGTCCCTCCCCCGCCTGCCTCTTCCGGGCAGGGACACAAAGCCGTAGCCGCCCGGCGCAGCGTGTCTGTGCCCTGTAAGGCAGGACCCGAGACCCGGGGTGGTCTTGGTTTGGTTTGTCTTATGGCCCTGGGGGTCGGCTCCCTTGTGGCCACGTGCCGAGTCAGGGGCACGGTGAGTGCTGGCGTCCCAGCGAGCCCGTCAGCATCCAGGACTCTGCCCACCTGCCCAGCTGCCTTACACGGAGGGGCTTCCTTGGGTTTCAGGGGTGGGTGCTGTGGGGCTGCCTGGCTGGGAGGCTGTGGGCAGCTCTGACACTCTGCAGCAGCCCCCGCCCCCGCCCCCCGAAAGGTTCTGGGCCGGTGCCTGCCCTTCCCAGGCACGCACAGGTCTGAGCGGCTCTCAGGACCCCCTTCCAACCGTGCAAACCCAGGTCTGCCGGGGCCCGCACTGCAACCCCCGGGGGCCTCGGGGGAGGAGGAGCCTGTCCCCTAGTGTGGCCGCGGCTGGCCTCTGGGCTCCCGCTGGGCACTCTGAGCGACACTGGGTCCAGCGCTGGCCTCTCTCTCTGGCTTGATCCCTGAGGAGGTCCTCCGAGACCGGCGTGTACCCAGGCGCCGGCCCCGCTCTCCCAGGGCCGCGTGTTCAGTCCCCCGCCCGGTTGCTGGAGGGCGCTGCCTCCCTGTCGGGTGCCTGGTGGGCCCTTGGGGTCTTGGTTAAAGTTTAACCTTCAGGAGGCTCTGCTCACAGCAGCCCCAGCTGTAGTCTTTCCTTTGAATTTCTTGTATTATTGTGAAACACACACGACATTTTTACCAAGTTCAGCATGTGTGAGCATGCTGCTTGGAGGTGCTGTCACGCCGCCGTCCCACAGCCTGTCCCGGGACACCGGGTCCAGGGCCATTCTCCATGATATGGCTGCCGCTCAAGGCCTGGCCTCTCCTGGCTGCCAGGCTGCGGGCGATGTGCCTCTCTGGTCTGTGTCCCCTGTGCCTCTCTGGCCTGTGTCCTCTGTGCCTCTCTGGTCTGTGTCCCCTGTGCCTCTCTGGTCTGTGTCCCCAGCTGCACACGGGGCGCCCCCTGCCACGGCCCCGTCCCCTGCCTGCTTGTGGGTCCCCGTGTGGATTAAGAGCGAGGGCAGATCCATGGGGGTACCTTGGATGATCGCAGCCCCATGTGCCCCTGTTCTGACCCAGGCACCTGCCACACGGGGTCCCGGGGGTCCGACAAGCCCTGTGACCCCCCAAGTGGCCACTCTGCGTGCTGGGGTGGTCTTCCCATGCCCCCCACTGCTGCCACCCTGCGTGTCTGTGTCTGGACTCCCCGAGGCACAGAGCACTCAGCTGCCCCTTTAACGCCCCGTGCCCCAGAGGCCCTGTGATAGGGGAGCTCTGTGCAGACGGGGCCCCTCCCCTCCATCAGGCCCGGTGTCAGTGTCCGGGGTGAGTGCGCCAGGGTGGGACCGGTGTCAGCGCGGGGAAGACGCGGTCTGTCCGTCGGGGCCGCCGGTGCTGCCTACACCCTCTCTGCCCAAGGCACCACTCCCGCCCGTGGCCCCGTACACGTGCCTCCTCCTGCGTTGACAAGGAGCACGCCCCACCCCCTTTCTCATTTTAGGAGTCCTACCTTCACTTCTGGTCCTTTCCTTGAAGTGCGCGCGCGGGACGCCCTTGTTAGCGGTCTAGCTTTGCTTGTCCCGCTCCTCCGTGTCCGGGCCGCTGGCATGTGCCTGGGGTGCCCTGGGGCTCACAGCCCGGACAGGTGCTGCGTCTCTGCGTCCCGTCCAGCCTGCCGCGCACCCTGGGCCCTCCCGCCCCCAGAGCGCTGCTTTCCAGAGCCTGCCCAGGGCTAGTGGGCGGCTGAGCCCCTCGCGTCCGCTGGCGCTCTCTGATGCTGGGGACAGGTCGCAGGGGTGGAGGAGGGGCACTCTGGCAGCCCTGCCCCCGGGATCCTCCCCTGCTGACCCCGGGGACGCTCACCTGCTTTTCTCTGCTGCAGGTGACCGAGGAGGTTCACCGGCTGCTGCGAAAGGGCACCTACCGCTTCGTGTGCCGTGGGAAGGTCAGCGTCAAGGGCAAGGGTGAGATGCTGACGTACTTCCTGGAAGGCCGAACCGATAGAAATGGCTCCCAGGCCAGGTCCCTGAACGCAGAGCGGAAAATGTGTGCTTACGGGCGACCTGGCCTCCAGACCAAACTGGGCACAGGCCCGCCCCCCATGGCCCCCATGGCTGGCCCCCCAGTCAGAGCCGGGCTAGGGGCTCTGCAGGGCTCGGGGCTCCCACCGGGCCCTCACGGCCAGCACCCGCCCCCCGGAGCAGCTGGGAAGGAGGCTTAGTGGAGCCCACGCTGGCTGCTGGGGGCCCCAGCAGGGACCAGCCCGGCCCACAGAGCAGGGCCTGCAGCCGGAGGTTGGGCCGCAGAAGGGGTGCCGTCCCGGCATGACCCGAAGCAGCTGGGCAGTGATGGGCCGGGCGAGCCCTGCCCACCTGGATGCTGAGGCTTTAGGGGAACAGCCCCCTCAGTCCTCTCCTCGGTGGCTGAGGAGCGGCTGCCTGGGGTTGGCCAGCTCAGCGTCCAGCGTCGGGACCTTGGGAACGTCTGCCACGGCCCCAGGCTTCGGTTCAGCTGGAGCCGTGGAGCTGTGGCCGGCAGAGTGGGAGCACGCTCTGAGAAGGCCTGCAGCAGCCTGGGCTGGGAGCCAGGCCGCGCGCGTGTGTCAGGGCCAGAAAGCCCGGCCCCCGGGCCCAGATGGGCTGGGCCGGCAGCGCGCGGTTCGGGGAGAAGCCGCACAGCACAGAGAGGGCTGCTGGCTTCCTTTGGGAGCCCTTTCTCGAGGGCCAGAGGCAGGTCTTCTGGAATTCTTGGGGCCCCGAGCCACGTCTCTGTGTCGCGACCAGCATCATCCCTGCTCTGCCTGCCAGTCCCGAGATGTCCCTCAGCCCCCGGATGGCCTCGGCCCTACAAACCCTGGCCTCACTTGTCAGGGAAGGAACCGAGATCGGGGCCGCTGGGCCCTTGCTGCGCCCGTGTCTGGGGCTCCCGCTCTCCTCACAACAGCACAAACCTGCATGGATTTTGAAACAAGCGAACCATACCTCGCCACAGAGAAAGCTCCCCGCGGAGAAGGCTGTACCCCGGACGTGGGATTTCGGAGTGAGTTTGGGTGACACCTGCAGGGAGGGGGCTGCAGGGGACTCTGGGGAGGCCTGGGGGTCTCCCACGCGCACAGGTGCAGACCAAGGACGTGTGGGATGTGTTGCTGGGGCGCTGGGTGGCAGCTCCGACCGCAGGAGGAAGGCAGGTTGGCACCGGTGGGCAGGGGCTGGGCTTACTCTGGCTGAGCCCCTGTGCATGTCCCGGGCTGTTCCTGTGGTGGGCCCACGAGGCGTGGTGTCCTCCGTGGGCCTCAGCCCTGCCCGGCCGTGGGGCAGCAGGTCGGCTGCCGGGCTGTGTGTGGATAGGCCGACGATGTGGGACTCAGGACGGAGATGGGTGGGTGGACAGCCTCCCTCCTGAGAACCAGCTCTGCGCGGGGCCACCGAAGGCCATTGCTACCATCGCTACTGAGAAGGACTCTGTGGCCCAGCCATCCCCGCTCAGCCTTTAGAGAGACGTGGCATGATCCCTTCAGGGGAAACCGAGTCATCTTGGGAGTCCCATGAGCATGTGGCCTGTGTGGTGTGCCCATCTGTGCCAGGCTGCAGGACTGAGGACCTGGCCAGGGTCCTGGAGCCCGCCTGCTGGTGGCCACCAGGCTTCCACCAGGGCAGTCCAGGGGGCAGCGGACCACACTGAGGTCCTGACCCCGTGCTCTATTGCGTGGCAAAGGGACTTCACAGACAGAATGGAAGGTTGGGCCTTAGGCCAGGGGCAGGATCCTGAGCTCTCTGGGTGGGCCGCCTGCCTCCTCGAAGTGGACACAGAGGCGGGGTGGTCAGGATGGCCCAAGGATGAGGTTGCTGTTTAAAGATGCGGGGACCCAACCATCAGCCATTGGGGAGAGGAGCTGGCTGCCCCTGCAGAGACACGCCATGGACTCCTTGTCCACCCGAGTGACCTGGGGGCAGGTGGACGCCAAAGAGAGTCTCCGTGGCCCCCAGCCCTGCCGGTCCCGGACCGGGGGTCCACAGGACCAGAGCTCTGGAGCCCTGCCTTGTGCGTGGCCGTGGCGGGAGGGCCCATGGGGGACCACCCACGGCACCGAGGCCCAGCTCCCAGGAGCACGCGACACGTCGGTCATCAGCAGTCCAGACCCTACCGTTCCCGAGGGCGCGGGAGCCACTGCAGCGACCCTCGGAGGCGGGTGCACGATGTCTTCCTCTTTATTTGTGATGAGACTGTATGATCTTGCCTTATTTATTTTTAATCTCGTACAGTATTTACAGGCAAACGTTAGCCTTTCGAGTAGGGTTCTGTCTAAATTATTTAAGATGCTCTGTAAATAGTGCACTGTTTCAGGGGACACCTGTTCACTCCCACCAAAAATGAGAACAGTCCCCCAACCCCCGTGCGCATGGCACTCTTTATCCAGATGTGTGACGTTCCTAAGGCACCACGCCCCTGCTTGGGGGCACCTCGGCACTATAGGGGGACCCGCGTGTCCCTCGTGCACCACTTACTCCCAACCTCAGTAGTGCAGAAGGCAGCACCAAACTTCCAGGCGCTTCCACGGACCACTGGGCCTGGGGGGTCCGCTGCACGGTGCGTGTAAGCTACAGTGTGGAGCCCCCCCCCACCACACCAGGCCCTCCCAGGCTGCACATTAGTCAGACCCCAGAGCCACAGCGCTTCCAGACACTTCCTGTCTCCAGAGGCAATAACTAACCTGCGGAGACAAGGCCAGTCCAAAGCCAACGGTGATTCCAGCATAAGCCATGCACACGAGTTTGCCCACGTTCAACCACGCCATGGGAGGGGGCGACACCCTGGTGGCCGCCCAGCCCCCCCTGCAGACCCAGCTCAGGCCCCGAGTTCTGTGGGGTTTGTCGTCGGTGTCCCAGGCACAGGGAGCGGAGGGCCAGCCTCAGCCCTGTCAGTGAAGTCACCCTCGGGGCGAGAGCAGGTCTGCGCACACCTGCGACCCTCTAACCCGTCTCAGCGCGCGCACGGGGTACAGTGAGCCTCCGGGCCGGGACACTCGTCCTGCCCGATGAACCTGCTCTGTGTGTTGGATCCAGATGATACGAATGCCTGCTCTCGTCCCATCAGCACCCAGAAGTAGTGTGAACCCCTCCTTTGTCCTGCTTCTGAAGAAGGAAGGGTCCTGTGGGCCTCACGCTTGTGTGCCCCGGACAGGTGGACCTGGCTTCATTCCAGCATGTGTTTCCGGGATTCCCCAAGTCTGGGGTCCTGCGGGCCCCTCCCTGTGTGCCAGGCTCCACCCATGACATGCATGCGCAGCCCACGAGGCAGGGGCTCCCTAAGTGTGCACCTGCCGCTGCATGGGAGCCGGGCGTGGGGGATGGGGGGCTCCCAGCCCTGTGGGAGCCAGGTCTCCGAGATGGTGGGCGCCCTGCAACGTGGGAGTCGGGTCTCGGGGATTGGGGGGCGCCCCGCTGCGCACCAAGCAGTTCTCTGACTCAGCGGGTCACAGAGCACTGCCAACACTTGTAATTCTGAAGCATACGGGCCTGTTGGGTCCATAGAAAGTCGCCCCTGGAAACCGACTTGAGCTGATTTTGTAGCGGCTTCAGTTTTAAAAACAACAAAACTTAAAAAGCAACAAATCAAACTCCTTAGAGGAAGTTGGTTTCGAAGTGTTTGGTTTGGGGGATGACTAAGGGGCAGGGAGTGGCTGACTGGAAGCCGGAGGGCACAACCGCGCCCCTGCATTGTCGTCATGTCCCAGCCGCAGTGTGCTTTGAAAGCTGGGTGGGGAGTTGAGGCCCCAGCACTCTCCGAGGGGATGCAGACACCACGTGGGGACGCGACCTCTTCTCACAGTATCTGGGGTTGCATTTCCGCCCATGAGTCTTAGACTGGGCTGGGTTGAAGTCTGGTTCAGGGATTGGGTTGCTAGGGGTGGCCTGAGGACCCCCCTCCTGGAGGGCGGGGTGGGGATGAGGTAGACGGCCAGGAAGGCTGTTTGGCTCAGCCTGAGGAATAAACTCCAGCTGTGAATTTTGTCAAGATGGACTTGGGAGGTGGGGGTTGGTGCTGACAGGCAAGCCCCCGGGACGTGAGACAGGATCCCTGATTCTGGGTGGTGGGTGGCGAGGAGCCAAAGGCAGTCCCTGTGCCCGGAGAGGGTGTGGGCCCCACAGCTGTGAATGTAGGGGTGCAGGGGTGGGTGTGCAGGGGCGCCAGAGTGGGAGGGACGGCCTGCTGTGGCCAAGAGCATGAGGCAGGGCCCCTTAGCTCCTCCCTATGCCCAGGGCCAGACTCCACACCCTCAGGGCGCTCCCGGGGACACCCCGGCTCCGGACACCAGCTCCTGTGTGTACACACTGGAGGCCGGTCCTGGGATGCTGGGGCGCGTGGGTCACCTCCATGTCCAGTTCAGCGAAGTAAGCCTGATTTCAGAGGCCGCGTTTCGGGACTAGGCCTCCCTAAACAACCTCATGGTAATGACTCATACATTTGCATTTCTTAAATTTCCCTGAAAATTGTCATCTATCTACTCCCCATCAGATCTGCTCATGGAGAGAAACAGTAACTCTTCCGCTGGAGCCATGCTGCGATCACATCTGTGTGTGTGTGTGTACACGTGTGTACTGTGCACGCATGTTTGTGAGCGTGTGATTGTACACGTGCATGTGTGTGCGCACGTGTGTACGCGTGCATGCGTGTGAGTGATTGTACAGTGCGTGTACGTGTGCACGCATGTTTGCGAGCATGATTGTACACGTGCGTGTGCGCGCGCGTGCATGGTTGTGTTATGTGTGTGCACGTGTGGGTGTGTGCATGCGTGAGTGTATGCCACACCTGGCAGGGGAGGGTGTTCTAGACACAACTCTTTCTCCCTTTATGAAATCCGTGCATTCCTTCCTACACCGATTGTGTACGTTCCGTGCTGAAGCTGCAGGAGAGGCCAGTAGCCATTGGCACGTGTAGTGAAAATCTCTCTCTTCTGGAATTCTCCATGTAGCCACAAACTAAGGGAACCACCATGACCAAGACCCACATCTCTTGGCAGCCCCAGAGCACCTTCTCCACCTGTCACCCGTTGGTTGCTTACGGCCCCCACAGTGTCATGAGGAATCTGGGGCTCAGAGAGGTTATTGACTTGAGCAAAGTCACACAGTACGAGTGGCAGGACCGAGATCCATGCCAGCCTGTCCCAAGCCCTTGGTTTTCCGTCCTACTCAGTGGCTCTTTGCTGACACCATACTGGGT